TTTTGCTACATTACTAAGTGGTTATGTGATTTTCAATTATTTAAACTAATTTTCTGTTAATTTAGTTAATTAAAAAATGTATTTTCGGGATTTATTTCTATTTCAAATATCAAAACTAGAAGAAAAAACTTGTATTTATACAATAATAAATAAGTAACTTTGGACCATCGGAATCATTTGGACAAGCTATAGAAAGAAAAGACTCGATTTTTATCCCACATAAAAAGCTTTGATAGTGCTGTAACTGTTTCCTCAGTGTGTGTTTTTTTCCAGTAAATTACTGTTATATAATGAATCTGCTTTTGCTTAAGCATTGATTATAATTTGTTCTTATGATCGATAGATCAATCAAGCCGCTCTGTGGTTAGGTGTGTCGTCACCAGGGCATGACATTCGTTCTGGAGTTAAACCCAAGCCATTTCCCCATAACAACACAACTCACAAGTCCAGGCACATGCAGTCTATAGATGGGAACAGTCGACCTCAGAGGGTACCCCGTGTGACACTGCACTCCATGAAAATTGCGACAAGCTATTTGACCGATGACTGCGCAGTGGTGTATAGTCTGAAACCATGGTGAACGGATGGCCAAAAACACCTAAGGTGAAAGCCAAGAGAACTGTATCTATGGCGGTGGCATGGATAAGATTAATGCCTTCCAGGGTGGGCAAAGATATTATCAGCCCCAACAAAAACTTTAACAAATATTTCTTTAAAAATTCAAAAATTGCTGTAGATTTTTTTATAAGACGTTAAAATTAATGTCTCATTATGGTGGATTGGATTAAGATTACAAAATAATCTGTTTTTTTTAATATTTTTTTCCGCATTATTTTAGTGGAAGCAGCGAAATTTCTAATTTAAATTGTAATTCCGATCACCTGCATTTTTTTTTTATTTGTTTATCACAGACTCAATTTTCGAGTTGCTGGTTATATTTCAACAAATAGAACTTTTATATTACACATTGTTGTATTGTAAATTTTTTTTTAATTAAAAAAGATCACAAATATCGATAGTCCTGGGCCGTTGGGGAGGGGGGAGGGGGCATCTAATGTGCCAACTATAGACATACATCCGGGTGCCGGGTGGCCGAGTGGTCTAAACTGAGCTAAGTCAAGCAAAAACATCACCAGCACCCCGGGTGAATGGGACTCGTTAACCTTGGATGGCAACTCATCTAAGAGAAGCAAACTCTGAAATCAAACCCGGAGATGGAGTCCCGAAAGGCGGATAACATTGGTACAATAAAACATTCCGACAACTCCTGCGACGTCACTGGTGCCAAGCTGTATCATCCAATGATATTCCCTTGGGTTATCCAGCGGCGTGGGGAGAGGCGATTTGCTGTTGGGAACCAGCTTATAATCCTTGAAGAATAATCCCAGGCCATGTGGATTTTGTCCTCCGAAGCCCACTCCATCGTCACATTGTGTCGGACGGATGCCAGCAAAAAGACATACATCCGTACATGCACACTTTGACAAGTGTAAATATTTGGAGAAACGCATGTCATCGTGTACATGTATACATATATTTAATTCTCAAAGTTTTAAATAATGAAACATAAAATATGAAGTGTACATTATCACAGTCGGCGATGTAATCTAAATAAACAGTTAAAACATTTTCCTAGTGATGTGGGCAGTATACGCGTTGATGTATACAATAGAGTTCAGCAGTAAGACATTAAAAACATTTTATTTTAAAATTTACTTTAATCTGTTATACACAAAGGTATTATTTACGTTACAGCTCACAACTTCACAAAACGTCTTATTTATGAAAGCAACATAATAATGAATGAAATGTGTAACATTTGTATGGTATAATTTACAGTAACAAGATTTACACATTGAAGCTGATGTGTGCGAGCATATACAAGAGTGTACAGCAGCCGGTAAGCCGGCCACACATGCGGTGAAATAATAAGTCAGATTTATCACATAATATAAATAGCATAATATATGAAATAACATGTAGAATAAATAATGGAAACATTCTCAGATCACATTTTGTATTCGAAATTTAATGCCGTATGGGCGGTGGCGTAGCTAGGGTTATTGTCACCCGGGGCGTGCAAAAAATTTTTTCAGCGCCCCTGTTATGAAAAACTAATCTGCAATTGGCCGAAAATGCCGCCCCTCTTTATAAACTATATTAAAAGAAGTGTCGTCCAAAGAGGACCGCCCCCTCCGCACCCCCTTTCTACGCCCCTGCATATAAGAAATTCCTTTTGCTGGACGAGCTGCAAACAATTTTCTTTCATTACAGAACTCTAGATAAATCCCACCCTCCTCTCAAAGGATCTGTTATTGAACTCATAGGTGGAGACTTGGAGATTCATATATGTAAGTTTATACTCTTTCTGTCTTTTTCTACGGAGGGGGCGTCAAGGGGAGGCACGGTTGGTGGTCTGCAAGTGTGAGGCCTGATGAAGGTTTATGTTGTACACTTTAAGCATACAAATACTGAAAATAATAATGAAACTCCAAGCTATCTTTCTCGCGAGTTCCATGTTGTCCAGAGCAGTTTAAAAAATTGATGTGGGCCGAAGAAAAAAAAACAACAATATTTGAGATTGTGAGAAGGAGGCATGTAATCTCCAAACACACAATAATTGTCAGAAGACTAACGTGAAAATGGCCATGGCATCAAAGCGATGAGGCTTTCTAATGTAAGAAGACAGAAACGTTGAGCGTAAACTGCTGTCAGTAGAAACGTAGCTACAATAAGTCTAAGGCTTTATATTTTATGGACTTTGATCTCAAGGTCCATACGTTTTTCTAACAGGAATGGCAAACAAAACAAAAAATCATATTGCCAAAATTAATTTGACAGGAATTTCAGTGGCTATTCAAGCAATGTAGTGATGGAAGATGCGGTTTCCCAGCCCTACACGTCTTATGCAATTTTTCATACTGGACTGTGTCCATGTAAGGCTGAGAATTCAATATTAGAAATAAGCGAAACATAGTATGGGAAAACTACAAGAAAAAAAAAAAGAACGCAACAAAACAACAAACGTGTCGAAAAGAAGCCTTCGCCAGCGAACAATTATAGAAAGAGAATTAAATAAAAATAACACTTAGCTGAAATTTGGTATCTGAGAGGACAGCAAGAGGAATGTGACAGAAAATTAGTAGGTGAGAGGACAGCAAGAGGAATGTGACAGAACATAAGTAGGTGAGGGGACAGAAAGAGGAATGTGACAGAAAATAAGTAGGTGAGGGGACAGCAGGAGTAATGTGATAGAACATAAGTAGGTGAGGGGACAGCAAGAGTAATGTGAAAGAATATAAGTAGGTTAGAGATTAAATACAGGCAAAAAAAAAAACGGGACAGAAGAGAACAAAAGTAAGTCCACTGCGAATTTTCGTAATGAGGAAGGGGCGGAGAAAAGGTTTAATAGGTGAATAAGAACATGAATTCAATAAAAATGTTCTGATGCTTACAAAAATTTAAATAATTGCATACACGTAATATAAAAATTAATGATAATTAATAAACATTTTATAAAGGATATAATATACCGTGAGATAGTAGATACTGGCAAAACATTTTTCACTATTTATTTTGCGTGCGTCAATTTACGAAGGATAAAAATAAATAAAAGTTTTTTTTATCTAAACAACAACAAAATATAAACATAACGTTTTTCATAGGAATCGGTTAAGATATAGGTCAAGTAAATGAGATGTGATGTCCTTTTTATTAACCATTTAGAGTGCACACATAACTCTGTTAGTTGTCAGAATACATTCTCTCTTTCTCTCTCTCCCCTCTCCTTCTCTGTCTCCCTTTCTAATACCGCCAATGATTTTTTTGCCCTTTTTCTTCTAAACACATCATTTTAAAATGATTTTCTTCGCTCATTTTTTCGTTGAAATGTACGTGCTACAAACATCTGTTAACAACAATAAAACTTTAAACACATAAGAAAGGCAAACCTGTCAAACATGTAAACACATAAGAAATGTACACCTATTACACAGGTAGGAAATGTACATACGTCAAATGTTTACATACTTGACATGTTAAGTCAAGTGTTAACATAGCTCAAATAGAAACTTTTTCTCAACAATTCAAATACTCACTGGGTAAGATGAAACATTTTTCAAACTTTTATAAAAGTAATATCACTAAAATAATTTTATACACTATATTGGTGGCTTTGGGGGGGGGGGGGTTTGCTTGCAGGGAATCTTGTCCATATTACACGAGCAGCTGATGTAATGGCTGGTTGTGGTGCAGATGTCCATATTACACGAGCAGCTGATGTAATGGCTGGTTGTTGTGCAAGATTCCATATTCATGAACAGTTGATGTAATGGTTGATTGTTGGGCAGATGTCCATATTACCCGAGCAGTTGATGTAATGGCTAGTTGTGGTGCAGATGTCCATATTACACGAGCAGTTGATGTAATGGCTGGTTGTGGTGCAGATGTCCATATTACACGAGCAGTTGATTTAGAGGCTGGTTGTGGTGCAGATTTCCATATTACACGAGCAGTTGATGTAATGGCTGGTTGTGGTGCAGATTTCCATATTGCATGAGCAGTTAATGTAATGGCTTGTTGTGGTGCAAATCTCTTATTCATGAGCAGTTTATCTCATGGCTGGTTATTGCGCAGATGTCCATATTTCATGAGCAGTTGATGTAATGACTGGTTGTTGGGCAAATGTCAATATTACATGAGCAGTTGATGTAATGACTGGTTGTTGGGCAAATGTCAATATTACATGAGCAGTTGATGTAATGGCTGGTTGTTGGGCAAATGTCAATATTACATGAGCAGTTGATGTAATGGCTGGTTGTTGGGCAAATGTCAATATTACATGAGCAGTTGATGTAATGGCTGGTTGTTGGGCAAATGTCAATATTACATGAGCAGTTGATGTAATGGCTGGTTGTTGGGCAAATGTCAATATTTCATGAGCAGTTGATGTAATGGCTGGTTGTTGTGCAAGATTCCATATTCATGAACAGTTGATGTAATGGCTGGTTGTTGGGCAAATGTCAATATTACATGAGCAGTTGATGTAATGGCTGGTTGTTGTGCAAGATTCCATATTCATGAACAGTTGATGTAATGGCTGGTTGTTGGGCAAATGTCAATATTACATGAGCAGTTGATGTAATGGCTGGTTGTTGGGAAAATGTCCATATTACATGAGCAGTCGATGTAATAGCAGGTTGTTGTGCAAAGTCCATATTACAAGAGCAGTTGATGTAATAGCTGGTTGTTGTACAGAAGTTTAGATTCATGAGCAGTTGATGTAATGGCTGGTTGTTGTACAGAAGTTTAGATTCATGAGCAGTTAATGTAATGGCTGGTTGTTGTACAGAAGTTTATATTCATGAGCAGTAAAGTTTTGTACACAGTGGAGCAGATACACTGTTTCCATTACATCATAATTTTTTAGTTTAAATAAACTACATTCTATAGTCTTCTGCTGTCTTCTTTGATGGTGTTTGTTGTGTTCGAGTTTTCTTTAAGGCACTTGTTACATTATATCAAGATTAATTAGCATAAAAACAACAGAAATCGTAAAAATTCGTAACACTTTTGATTGAGTTTTGCGATCGTAAATTATCGAGTTATTTAAGTCATAGTGCTTTGTTTTATAACAGAGATGTCATAGTTAATTGAATTCAGATCACTGCGTTGTTAAGTCATTGTTGTAAGTAATTGAAGTCACATCAATGTTTTGCAGCACAACCGTTGTTATACTTCATTGCAGTCATGTCTTTGAGTTGTATAACGATTGTTATAAAGTCATATCACAGTGTTGTATACCCGATGTCATAAGCTATTTAATTCATTTAACTTTTTATAAGATAATGAAGCCATGTGCACTTTATAAACACTGTTAAAAGCGATAGTAGTCTTATGAGTGAACTATCTCCCATTCCGTACAAACAAGGTCAATGGGAAAAGGGAAGTAACAACGAAAATTCGTCCCGTAGCGTTGGACGTCGATACGAATCGCTCAAGTGTCATCTGATAGCATAAAGAAGGGGAGACCATACTGCACAGGAACCTCTGGGTCCACCAAAGCCAACATTTATAAGAGAGGCAGATAATTCAAAGGAGATTCTCTAGACGTCGCCAACTGTTAAGCAGATTTTGTAGTCGTTGAGACAGCTTCCCGAAGTCGCTTGATGTACTCGGCTCCCCACTCTCTCAGCAGATTCTGGTCAGGAAATCATGACAGAAATTAGCGTTGACTTTATAAATGACATGGTGTAGGTCATATTTGTTGTATGCATAAATGGCACTTAAATAGTTGCAATCGCTGTTAAAGACGTGTTGTTGTTTTTTTTTTAAAGTGTCAAAATCTTGATATTTAAGTGTCGAAATCTTAATATTTAAGTGTCGAAATCTTGATATTTAAGTGTCGAAATCTTGATATTTAAGTGTCGAAATCTTGATATTTAAGTGTCAAAATCTTGATATTTAAGTGTCGAAATCTTGATATTTAAGTGTCAAAATCTTGATATTTAAGTGTCGAAATCTTGATATTTAAGTGTCAAAATCTTGATATTTAAGTGTCGAAATCTTGATATTTAAGTGTCAAAATCTTGATATTTAAGTGTCGAAATCTTGATATTTAAGTACACATTTAATTTTAATAAATCAATGTGGTTGTGATCGGTGTAATATTTTTCAATATTTCTTTTTAAATTATTTTTTACGAGTCTTCCAGTATTCTGGTCTCGTCTCGGGTAGCTGAGAATTGCAAGTTCATCCCTCAATGATCAGACTACATTAAAGAAGGGGATTACATTATGATGGGGCGAATTCTATTAATGAAAACATGCTTTTATAATTTAACATTTTAAATAATAAAAATGAAGGGTCGTCTAGCCTCATTTGCAAAAGACGAGCTGTAAACAATTGCGCTCATTTAAAATTTGGCTTTAGTGCCGACGAAAATTGCGGACGTACAATTTTAAAACTGTTGCATGTAGACTTACTCCTTACAATCAACTACTCTGAAAATTACATTTTAAAATTTCTCAACGAATTGTAAACTTAAAGACTTGCCGATTTATCGTTTGCAATGTAACGGGTTTATCTGTGCACTCTGTTCCCAGACGATTACGAAGTCGAGGCCAGATTAAGTTTAAGATTTAACCAAGTTTAGCCTTTGAGTGTGTCATTACCTCACAGTACTCGTACGTCCGCCTCAGTCTAAGATGTACCGGTCTCATCTCCTCGTCAGCATACACGTACCTGGCCACCTCACCTGGCATGGGCTGGGAAATAAAACAACAACAAAAAAAAAATCGTTGGAGCTGTACAGAGGGGGGGACTTTTTAGATTATTTTTTTAAAAATCTGTTCTTTATTTCGTATTACTTTGAATATTTTTGGTATCATTAACACAGCTTTAAAAAAAAAATTGTTCTACTTTATGTCCTACAAATACCAAATAAATAAATAAAATAAATTTTGTTTTAAAAACAAAGGAACACCAGTTTGTTCCTTGTTGAATTTTCTGGGTTTTTGTCTTTTGTCAGGCGCATTTCCAGATTTTGATCTCGAAGTCATATTAGAACTTTGAATTACAAGACTGCAATCACACTAAGCCCCAATAACACCCTGCTAAGATCCTCCTAAAGTCCACAAGTCAAACTCATATATACATGACTATCTCAGTTAAAACCTCCGTACATCCCTGACATCATCATGCTACAAATTGACACCCCAGACATCATCATGTTACAAATTGAAACTCCTGACACCATCATACTATAAATTGACACCCCTGACACCATCATGTTACAAATTGACACCCCTGACAACCAACTGACTCCTTTCTGTCACACTCTTGACCCACTTCTAAAACCCCCTTGACACCTTCTGTCACTCTCCTGACACCCTCCTGACACCCTCTGACACCACTAACACCCCCTACACCCTCCTGACACTCTCCTGACACCCTCTTATCACCCTCAAATCAAATTTACCAGCATCGGAGACTCCCGCCTCACTGACACCCTCCTGACCAGGAACAAGAGGCATGTGGCCAGCATTTTCAGGTTTCGCTCCCCCGTGTCGGTCAGTGGGTCATTGGACAGACCGTAGTCCACTGGCTTCATCAATAGCTTTCAAATAAAGTACAACACATCAAATAAAGTACAACACATCAAATAAAGTGCAACACATCAAATAAAGTACAACACATCAAATAAATTACAACACATCAAATAAAGTACAATACATCAAATAAAGTACAACACATCAAATAAAATGCAACACATCAAATAAAGTACAAAACATCAAATATAGTACAACATATAAAAAATAATGTGTTTATGTTGCAAGTGCTAAAAAGTAAAACAATCTTTGGATTACTTTAGAACAATTGTTTTTTGCTTTAATTTTTGGTGATAAATTACTTTACTGCTGGCTCAATGCATCACTAGCAACAGATGGTCATTTAGTTGACTTAATACATGATTATCGTATGATCCTTAACCATGCAGTGGTCATCTTACCGTGGTGATAAAACTCCTGGAAAGGAAGATGCCAACAATGAGAATGAAGGCCTCTAGATTTCCCACATTTGCTGTCCTGCCACTGCCGTCAAATTGCAGTCGGTCCTGTCAACGAGTAGAGATGACAATAGTGTTGGCATCATATTACAATACAGGACAATATGTTGGCATCATATTACAATACATGACAATATGTTGGCATCATAATACAATACATGACAATATTTTGGCATCATATTACAATACATGACAATATTTTGGCATCATATCTTAATTCAAAATAAGCTACAACGCGCCATGCGTTACGCTATATTCTGGGATGATTGTCAACATTATTTTCCAGTTAATGCATAATGGCTGTGTTGCTTATGGTTGAAATGGCTAGAAAGACTTTGCCATTGTATGCTTGTACTTAGTTTTTGTCGTGTTGCGTTTGTTTTAAATGTGGTAAACTATAGATTTGTTTTTTTTTGACTTTGTACCGCGCTTCGAGCCTTTGGGGATGAAGCGTGTTTTTGAAATGAACTTTATTATTATTATTATTATTATTATATATTAAAAAATAGCCTCGTGACATGGCACAAATACACCTCATAAAATGCATACAAAATTACACCATATCATTCGCAACAGATGATAATCAGAATACACACTATTTAATATTCCCTCATACTTTTCAATACACGTTGCAAAACATATTCATTCTTTTTTACACTAGAATCATATGGTAAAGAAGAACAGGAACTCATCCTGGCTCATTTGGCTCCTCTTGTCAAAGAAAATTAGGGACTGGAACAAGATTCCAAAAGAAACAGTTGAGACGACAAAACTTGACATATTTGCGTCTGTTGCCTCATTCCTTCCACCCCCCTCCCCAGTCCCTGATACCCTCACTGAGTAGCCCTTGCAACCAGTGACATATCCGATTCAAAATCAAGCACATAAATATCGTGACACTCTGCAGAAATAGAAGCCAGAATGATGAATACATTGATCGTGGGGCCCTCAAAGTACAGAAGAAGACGAAATGCTACATTATATTACACCACTACATCAATTTGCAGAATATATCTGGATTTATTAGATGACCCCATCGGTTGAACTATTAATTGCCGCATAAATACATAAGACTATAAAATTGACTTACCAACTCAATCTGCCAGAAGTAACCATCGGGAAATCTTTTCCCACTTTTGATCATCTCAAATACAGCAGATTTGTTGTGTGTACCCAGCACTCCAGTCTTAGGCTGTTTGAAAATGTATATATATATATATATTTCAATTTAGTTTGATTTAATAGCTTATATAGTTGTTTAACATTATGTTTAACCCTATGCTTAACACTATGTTTAACACTACTTTAAATAAGTAAAGTAGTCTAAACAACCCATTCTTTGTAAGCGTAATACTCTTAAAGTATTCTTTGATATAGTTTACACCACAGAACAACATTTATCGATGTCCAAGACTAATTAAACATGTTAGTGGGCGGTCTTTTTTGAAAGGACCTAAAATCACAAAGTCATGAAGCTATAGAATATCGTCAAGAGTCAAGACAGGGAACACTAGCGAAGATTTCAGTCATGTGGTGGATCAAGTTGTCAATAGCTATAGAATTTCGTCAAGACATGGAACACTAACCATGATTTCAGTCATCTGGTAGATCAAGTTTTCAATAGCTATAGAATATCGCCAAGACATGGAACACTAGCCATGATTTCAGTCATGTGGTAGATCAAGTTTTCAATAGCTATAGAATATCGCCAAGACATGGAACACTAACCATGATTTCAGTCATCTGGTAGATCAAGTTGTCAATAGCTATAGAATATCGCCAAGACATGGAACACTAACCATGATTTCAGTCATCTGGTAGATCAAGTTTTCAATAGCTATAGAATATCGTCAAGACATGGAACACTAACCATGATTTCAGTCATGTGGTATATCAAGTTTTCAATGACGTATTGAAGAACCTGGATGAGCTGAGCCCGGGGGTCATCTCGATCCCCTCCTCCTCGACCCCGACCCCTGCCCCTGGGTCCCTCCTGCGACGGCCCTGGGGCGTAGAGAAGCTGTGTCAGGTCCTGGGCCCCGGGACCAATGATGTCCTGCATGACTGGGTAGATGTTGCCATTAGGCTGAGAACAAAAACCAGATTACGATGTAAACATGTTAAAGTTCTAAATTTCACGTAAAATGGGGGGGGGGGGTTGAAAAGGGGGGGGGACGTAGCTTCTAAAATGTCTGATAGGACATAGGTCAACACTTGCACAAGAATATGACGAGGGCAACATATTGCACACATGATTACCAGAGTTTTGATAGCAGCGATCCCCAACTTTAAAAAAAACACCTAAAACCCTTATATTTTTAAAATAGTTATTCTTTTCGTCACCTGGACTGTGGTTGTCTAAGATACGACATGCATTTTTGACCAGATCATCCATTAAAACCACTTACCATTGGGGGACCACCGCATTATCATGGACTTACGTTTAGATAAATCCTGTGCAAAGCTGCTACAATCTCTTTTAAGATAATACCAAAGAGGAAGACACTGCTGGGTCTAGCCCCTCCTCTCTACAAGTTTACAAAACAAAGTAGGACAGTCAGTCAACGGATTTATATCATAGCGTATCATAGAGTATATTAGAATTAGGTTTTATTAGAAAACACATGTAAATCAATTTATTTGATATTTGTGATAATATGATCTAAATTTCCTCGCAAATTAATTAATATTTTCCTTCTTCACAAATTCAGTAAAATTTTTAAACATGCTATTTTTGTAGAGGGTCTTCACATTTTTTTGTCATCAGATTTTACTAAAAAAAAGTACTTTGACTATTCAAAACATAATATGACTCTCGTGCATATGAATAAAAACCATAATATGACTCTCTTGTATATGAATAAAAACAGGATATGACTCTCTTGGTTATGAATCAAAACATGATATGACTCTATTGGTTATGGATAAAAGATTCTGAAGAAGAAAATAAAAATTGGAAAATAATTTTTCTTACGTTATCTGTTCTGACGACTGAAAGAGAAAATTTGAAAGAAATGATCAACACATTATCCAGAAAATAAACTACAAATAATTTTTGATGTGGAATGTTAGCCTTTAAACAAAGATGGAAATTTTCAAAGCAATGGTAACTTCTAATTTATATTGATCTAAGTTCTTTTGTTATTTCTGGTTACTACTTCTGGTAACTGTGGTATATCTATATTAGATATTTGCTGTGGTGCATAAAGCGTCATAACTCGCTAAATGGATGTAATTTTTTAAAATCCTTTACACATTTTTTTACGAATCGTATTCACAGCTATAAAAAAAGAGATAATTTTATGAAAAAACCTCAGTGCAAGTAATGTGACGATATCTCCCAACAGCTTTATTTCCTGTGGGTTTTCATTGGAATAAATGGTAGTGTTGTATGGTGGAGCTCAAACTGCTTTATTTCCTGTGGGTTTTCATTGGAATAAATGGTAGTGTTGTATGGTGGAGCTCAAACTGCTTTATGTCCTGTGGGTTTTCATTGGAATAAATGGTAGTGTTGTATGGTGGAGCTCAAACTGCTTTATGTCCTGTGGGTTTTCATTGGAATAAATGGTAGTGTTGTATGGTGGAGCTCAAACGGGTTCTCGGAAAGAAAACGCTACACATAGGGTTGCACTCTCATGCAGTTCATTCGAGTTCCGTTGTAAAGTCGTTTTAAAATTTTATTGAGACTACGCCCTGACATAACCGTTTCCGTACTCTGGACTTTTTAAGCATGGCTAAAGGGATAACATTAAGTGGATAATTTGCTTGAGCATGAACGCGAAATAGACGATAGCACGGTATGAAATGCAGTCCATTCCTTGTTTATTTTTGCATATAAGTAGTTTAATTAATGCTGTTGTAATTGATATGTTAAATTATATAAACATTTAAACCGTATATGATGACGATTTCATTGTTTAAATATTTATAATTAGTTACTTTTGATAAGGAATATTACATCACCGCTGAAAAAAAAACAACAACTTGGATCAGATAATTGGGAAATATTTGTTCAGATTTTGAATAACATCTCCAGTGGTGTGCCGCGAAACAAATTTGAAAAAAAAGTGTGGTGAAAGATTATTGACTGTGATTTTCATTTAAGCTCAGTATGAGACATGTTTAATTTGAGTGACAACAAAAGTAAACCACACTGTTAGGTCGGCATTATTTGGCGGTACTTTGCAGTCTGGTCATTTGTCTTAAGGGAAAAATCACAACCAACAAATATGTTAAGGGCTGTATCAGGGAAAACTATAGGCTGGTTGAGTGTTAATTTGAATCATACACCACACACATGCACCACATACATGCACCACACACATGCACCACATACATGCACCACACACATACAACACACACATGCACCACACACATACACCACACACATACACAACACGCCCCTTAATGAAGTGTTAATTCCTTCAAAACTGAATTGGTCCTAAGATGTGTCCGGGCTCAGTGGCGTAGGAAGGCGAATCAGTGGGGGGGGGGGTCCTTCTTTTCTTTATATGGAGGGGTGACACTTTCAGTTAATTGCAGAATTCTTTTAGTGAAAGGGCGGCGAAACATTTCTCGGCCTGCCCCGGTGGCATTAACCATGGGTACGTAACTGCTCGGGTCTGTTGTATGATATTTGCATAATGTGGCAAGGAGAATAAAAAATTTTGCAGTTTGTATTGTATATTTTTTCTAATAAGTCTCTTGTATCACAATTAAAAATGATGGAGTTTGTATAGTAAAGTGGTTCTCAACCTTCCTAATGCCGCGACCCTTTAATACAGTTCCTCATGTTGTGGTGACCCCCGATCATAAAATTATTTTCATTGCTTCTTCATAAATGTGTTTTCAGATGGTCTTAGGGTCGTTCGACCCCCAGGTTGAGAACCGCTGGTATAGTACTTCCTCTAAGTCTCTCGTGTGAAAACGTATCTCTTACCGACTGGGGCTCTGTTTCCCATGGGTAATCTCGCTCTGTAGTTGATGGGACGTCTTCCTAAACCTAAATGGAATAACAGCATGTGTCAAATAATTGCAGCCATTAATATCACCAGCATTGTATCCCCGAAAGGTGAGATACTTGACAGTTCTGCTATGTCTTACCTGATTTGCAGAACTCGGTATTTCAGATTATGTAGTCAAATATAATTATTATTTTTGTTTGTTTGTGGAGAATTTCAAACTGTTTGTGTGTAGTGTTTGTAAGATACAATCAACGCTGATTGTTAACACCATATTGGAGTTGTATTTATCATATGCAGTATTCTAGGGAGCCCAACAGTATAATTAAATTGCATTTATATTTTTTAATAATAAAACATTTCCTTTATGCTAGGGATTCTCGTGTTATAAGAATCATTTTACTTTATAACCTATAGTTGGCACCTGGAGATAGAATAGAAGTACAGGTTTAGATCTTTGATGTGACATATTTAAATCTACTCTCTCTCTCTCTCTCTCTCTCACACACACACAAATCTCTACGTTTATAATAATGAGCTCTGTCAGAAGTCTGAAGACGGAAGTTATGTAACTGAATAATAAATACATAACATTTGTCTTTAGATTTGCTGCAATTCGCCACATATATTTCGTTTTTTTTAAAACTCTCGACCACAATGGGTCCGATGTTCGAGCAAGAAAAGCATTCAGTACAAGGAATTTTCGGCTCCAGTATTAATTTACACATTTCAAAAGTTGTGATCTTATCTCCAAATGATTGTGGCATGGAACTGATATTCGAGCATCCCTTCTTCATCCCTTCTTCCTACCTTCTGTACATGCGCAATCTCCATAAAATATTTTTTATCTACCAAGCCCCTTCTTAATTTTTTTATAATCCTAAATTTCTCACACTGGATAGATGCCTACGTTAATTTCTGAGGACCACTGGAACCACCAGCGCCCTCCTCCTCCCCCCCGGGCGGCACTTATCTTTGAGCGGCTTTTTCATGCATTTTGCATTATTTATTTTTATGTGTAGTCTTTATGCATGGCGCTTTTTTTCATGTGGGGTGGAAAAAATAAAGTTCCGCATCGGGCGTTTTATCTCTACCTACTCCACCGAGTAGAGCGATCCATCCACTCAACATTGACCATTAGAATTCTGGCTGCGCTTTTATAATGGTGACTTCCCCTTAATAATAGTGGCTTCCCCTTAGTAATAGTGGCTTCCCATGATTTGATGTTGGCTTGAAAAACTTTTGTATGAGGAAGTTAACCATACGATTAAAGTCTTACGTTAATTTTAATCTTCCATTCAAGACATGTGTTATCACAATGTAAGCAACATCAAACAATTCTTTTTTAAAAATTAAATAAAAACATTATTAATTGTTTCACAAATCGGCTTCTTTAATTTTAATTTCTTTGTTGTTCAAGAATATGAACGATTAAAATACCAATTCTTGGTAAGGGGACAAACATTAATTTTAGAATTGAAACGAATATTTTATAATTTAAAAAATAACCTTACTATTTTTTTTTTTTTTGCTTTAAGCTATTTTCAATTGAAAAAAATAGAGGGATAATATTGAACAATTATTTCTCTAAATTAGAAAATCTATAAATTTAAACATTTTTAATTTATTTGTTGTTTAAGAATATGAAAGATTAAAATACCAATTCTTGGTAAGGGGATAAACATTAATTTTAGAATTGAAACGAATATTTTATAATTTAAAAAATAACCTTTCTTTTTTTTTTTTTTTTGCTTTAAGCTATTTGCAATTGAAAAAAATAGAGGGATAATATTGAACAATTATTTCTCTAAATTAGAAAATGTATAAATTTAAACATGATTGAAGAGTATGTTAAAGTGGTCAATGTCGTTTAAAAAAAATAAATAAATAAAAAATTTGAATTTAACATGGCAGAGTTGCATAATTTTAATTATAAAATGTCTACAAAGCTACTGAATTAAAGAAACGAATGAAATAAATTGCAATAATGAACAACTGGATGGCAAACGAAAACTAAAAGAAATGTGTACCTATCATTTGGACATGGTTATTTGTAAACTGATGTTATAAAAATATATCGAATTCAGAATGAGTCCTACACTTTATTTTATAAATTAATATTAAAATATAATTCATTTGTACAAAGATAATTTTTTTATATAAAATGTTTAATATAACATGATATGAGATTTTTAAAAAAGAATATTAATTTGATAAAATTCTTAATGAGAGAAATGATAATTTGTTATTTAAAGTCTTAATGAAAGTTTTAAGAGGAATATATTTTCGTCAACAAGAAGAATATTTATAAACTTTTTTTTATTTTTAGACAGAACACTTTTAATGAATAATAATCCTATCACAGTGAGTATTTTAGTCTGAATAATTTATGTTTAATTGAAGAAGCAGCAAAAACTTTAAAAGAAATATATTTTAACTTTGGTGATCACAAGATTTGCATTTAGAAGTTGTTGTTTTTTTTTAATTTGCCATCATATTATGGGTTACCAGAAATCGTTTGAAAGAAATTTCGCCAATATTTTTGCCAAATTTCTTTTTGAACGCACTATACTATATAGTAAAACAGAAGAATAAATTTTAACGTGTAAACAGAAAAAAAGATTCAACCGAATTTCCATTCGATCAAAATTCCGTCGATCAATTTTCCGTCGACGAAATTTCTTTCAAACAAATTTCCGTACACACATATTATGATATTTTTAGCTTATTTGTTTTAAGTTCAAAAGCATATCAAAGAATATGATTCAATTGAAAATGCATTTCTATCATAGCGAGTTAAAAGGAAGATATACAATTAATTTGACATATTTATCATGGTCTAGAAACTTTTAATGTTGTTAAAGTCTACACATTATTAAACTGACAGACATTGGAGAATTGGATGAAAAAAAAAATAATTCTAATATTGAGACAGGATTGTGTCAATTCTTAAAAAAGTCTTTTTCAACACCAATGACAATGATGTTTGTTGGTCTATTATTTTTACGATATTTTTTAAGGAGTAAATTTAAGCGTTGAAACTAAATACAGTTTTAGTAATAAGAAATAAAAGTGCAGTTAAATTATATTTCTGCATCTAAATTTAAATAAGTTCGTTATTTAGTTTTAAGGGAGTAAGGCTATAATTTTTTTTATTGTTTTAAGGCAATGGACACGGTAAGTTACTGTAAAAAAACACGATATATTTGGATCCATTACTAAAATTAAATTAAAATCTCCACACATTTCTTTAATTATTTCTTTTTGGGGGTTGAAGCAGTTATAATCATTGTAATTATTACAGCTTCTCAAGGCGAAAAGAACCCAAATACATTAAAACACAACTTAAACTTCACCAAGTCAATTCCTCAATTCATTGAAAAAGTTGAATCAAAGAAGAGCAATCCATATTTAAAATATAACAAATATCACAGGTGACTATCACAGATCTCTTATCCCCAATTATGTCGACATACTGTTTTACCCCACAAACCAGGTCACAATTTGAATAACAGATGGGACACATATGAGGCACTTGGGTGAACTTCTTACCTCAATCTTAAATTATGTACACACTTCTGCATACAAGTGAAGCACTTGCATGATGGCACTATCTAGACTTGCAAAATCTTATTCGCCATATGGTTGCTGTTGCTGATAAATATTTACCTACCCCCCTCCACCCGAACGCCCATAACTTCACCCTAGTTAAACTACATCGTAAATTTACAGGTATTATGTCCTAGTTTCAAATATGCCTGTATCCTGCCATTGAATAGACGTGTCATTGACTACTCAGTGTCTGTAGCCTCATGAACAGAGATTTGGGCATCAAGGAAGTTTGATCGAGTCAATAGAAACTTCGATTGTGGTTTACCATAACCTTGTGCAAACAACGACCAAACAGTCTGATCGAAGTTCGAAGTTCGCGATCACCAACCAAAATATCAGTTGGAAAAAGTTTGGGGGAAGAGAGGTTCATTGTAACTTTAATCTAGAACATGTCCACATTTCGAAAGAACTTACAATTTATTTCATTGGCAATATATTTACAGCTAATCGTGATGAAGCTTTTTTTTAAAGAATGAATACAAACTACTTTAATCTCTAAACCCCAATATACCTCTCTATGGTGGACAATCTTGTTAAAAGATATGAACAAGATTTTTTTTCTCATTAACTACATCACATTTTACACAAGTATCATAAATAATCACATAGGTAATCGTCAACTTTACAATAAGCACAACATATTTTTCATGACTAAGTCTGTTTCGCTTTCGTTCGTTAGTTTTCTGTTCTGCGGCGAAGTACAGAAACAAGCACGTGATCATCTCCAGCCATTCACAGAGAAGTTTTACGTCGCGGTTGCTAGGTAACAGCCAATAGTGTCCTCGCCTCCTCTCAGTGGTAGTGATAATAATTGGAGCCATCATCATATATTGTGCTATTGTAGTCTGAAACGAAACAAAAATAAAAGATGTTGTTGGCGTGTTTCTTTTTCAATTTAGTCTCAATTTATGTGGTGTTTTTTTTTTTTAAACACGTGAGTGATTAGAACTGCGCATATTAATTTTGTTTTAAAATACAAGTGTCATTATCTTTGGATCCGTTACTAATTTTCCATCAATTTTACTAAATTTTCATTTCTTCGTGTTTATTACTTTACAAATTTTTTACATTTGTGTAAATATAAACGATGGCTCCATTATTTAAAATTTATTTGGACTGTTTCTAAACAGTGCTAAGTTGTTGTTTTATAAATATATAACAGCCGAATTCGCCTCTGTGAATGGCTGGGATGAATCACGTGAAACGTGCGATGAAAAATTCGACTGGAAAATAAAAAGAAAATTTTGGACTGAAATAAAATACAATTTAATTTAAGAAACAAATATGCTTGGACTTCAAGAAAAGTTGATGATTTTAATAGCCGCAGTTTTTAAAAAAGAAGGTAAAGAACCAATTGTGAATACTGTGGAGCAAGAATTGTTATTTTGACATAATTTTTATACTCTGAAACGTCTTTCAATGAATTTTAGGATTAGCAAAAACGAACTAGTCAGTACTATTAACCAATCAAAGTAACTGCCTTTCAAACCATTTTATTTAGCTTTCTTTTGTTGACCTCTTTTACTTTATTAAACTATGAGAACTTATCATGAAATTATTTTTTGAAATCGCGAATTTTTCAAATACTATAATATCACTGTAAAATCAAGATGACCATCAAAAATAGAATTTTTGCTATTAACTTAATACAGCTTTGTGATTGTAATCTGATTGTAACCAACAACATGAAACATTCAGATAATACATGCATGATTATATAGCGGGTTCCACACACATTTCTAATAGCGATCCTAAACTACTGATTGAAATCTGGGGATACCAGCAACATGAAACATTCACATATTACACACGCATGATTATATTGCGGGTTCCACACACATCTCTAATAGCGATCCTAAACTACTGATTGGAATCTACTGAAGCCAGATAAACCAAATATTTTAAAAGAAATTGAAAGAAAAAAAAATGTGTATACTTACTGCGACCGTAGTAGCCTCCACTACCACCCATACCCCGACTGGTAACAAGAAAAGAAGAGAAAAGGCCAGATATATAAATGCCAGTCAAAAAAGTATGTGTGAGAATTGGTGTGGGGGTGGTGTGGGCATTGATGGTGAGGATGGTGGCGTGGGCGTTGATGGTGAGGATGATGGTGGTGGTGTTTGACTTGATAGAGTGGTTGGTTAAAGCATGATGAGTGAGCAAGATTTTGATGGAAGCAGTGCATACTATTGAAATGTATAATATCAAATAATTTATTTAAACTAAGAACATTTTGAATAGATTTCCATCTGTTAAGTCAAAATTTCCCCCAGTGGATGAGACGATATAATTGAACTTTTTTTGTTTCCACATTTTGTTTCCACATTTTGTTTCCACATTTTGTTTCCACATTTTGTTTCCACATTTTGTTTCCACATTTTGTTTCCACATTTTGTTTCCACATTTTGTTTCCACATTTTGTTTCCAGGATTGTTTCTCAAAATAGTTTTGACGATGATTGTTTTTTTTAAAATATTTTTTTTGTTTGTTTTTTTAAATGTTATTAAGTAGATTGAATACGTTGTCTGCAAATACATTTAACAAGGTGTCTTGAAGACATTCAACATGCTGTCTTGAATACATTTAACAAGGTGCCTTGAATAGATTGATCAAAGCGTATAGTTCTACATCTCCAAGTTTGGGTTAACATTTCAATACTCTATAGATACTTACTAGTCCATTGGTGGCATGGAGAAGTTAGGCTGGCTGTTAATGTGATGGTGATATACAGAGGGTGATGGCCTCATCTGTGGACATACAAACTTTTTTTTAAAGATAGGGTTTGGATGCAGAAAAAAAAACAGAGCTAGCTCTATCGGTTTTTATAAGGTGTATTTTCATGTTCTATATTTTAGTGTGCTGCAATGAGTTCGGTGTTATGGATTTAATTAGAATGGTGTTATGGATTTAATTAGAATGGTGTTATGGATTTAATTAGAATGGTGTTATGGATTTAATTAGAATGGTGTTATGGATTTAATTAGAATGGTGTTATGGATTTAATTAGAATGGTGTTATGGATTTAATTAGAATGGTGTTATGGATTTAATTAGGATGGTGTTATGGATTTAATTAGAATGGTGTTATGGATTTAATTAGAATGGTGTTACGTATTTAATTAGAATGGTGTTATGGATTTTATCTGGAACAACTTAAATTCCCAAATGTTATTGTGCATAAAAAAAATTATTTAAAACGATTCAAACCCAAATCATATTCCGCCACAAATATATGGATGAGTTTTCGTAAGCCTTATCATTACCCACGCACTAACATTCAGTAGTTTTATGGTACTCAATCATACATCACATATTTACGCTGTCACTCTCTACGCCCTAATCATGACCGAAACTCTAAAGTGCTCAGTCACATTCACAAATGCATACGCTCTGAATCATACAGTCCACAGTCACACCCTACATACATACAAGCCCCAATGGTCTTATGATAAGCACAATTGACAGTCCCTAGAGCCTACCAATGCCACCGGAGCTGCTTGCTCAGCGAAAGGAATTGTAGCGGGGCGGGCACCGGGTAGCTGGTGCAACATCATCTGTTGCATGACCATGTGGTGCATCTGGGCATTCTGGAGCATCATCATGTCCATGAAATCTGAAATTCATTTTTTAAAAAAATCATTAACAACTGTATCATCAGTAACAACTGTAACATCAGTAAAAACTGTAACATCTTTAACAACTGTAACATCAGTAAAAACTGTAACATCGTTAACAACTGTAACATTTATAACTTGATAACAAGATGTCGTTGATTTTTTAAATTTTCATTTGGAGCAGTGCTTCCTAATATGTGAACTTCTAATGGACACCGCGGCCACTCCAGGAAATACCACAGAACCATTCAATTGTAAGACATAGGCTAAGTCTGAGGACGTATCCATAGAAATCGCTTCTCAAAAAGGGTCTGAAAGCCAAAAAGGTTGGTGGCCACGCATTCAGAGTGTTTACGGAGCAACACTTTTTCAATTGTACTCATGACGATTTTAGTTTAGATATTTTCTTTGAGATTGTAATTCTTCAATTCCTTGCACTCTTATATATATGTAAGAATGAGCTATGCTGACGTAACTCCAAAGAACCGAAATTATTTAGATACGTTTGGATTCTTAAAAACAATCATAGTTATTTTTACATTACTTTACGGAAAGTGAATAAATTTAAATGCGCAAAAAATATTATATTTAAGTATTTCAGTTTAAGTATTATTATTATTATAAATCACAAAAATATTTGGATTTCATAAAATATTTACGTACCTGATTTGTTAAACATGGTGTCCTTCCGAGGGTTGTCCATGGACCTAACGGTCAGAGCGGGATAGGCGTATGTCGGCGCTACGGCCTGGACAGGAACGAGCTCTTGCGCAACGGGCTGTGGGAGATAGGTTATGGGCTAAATTTGGAAGACAGAAAAGTCAAGAAATTTAAATTTTTTGTTGTTGTACATGGAAAAGTTTCCGAATTCGAAAAGCACAGACTTAACGAATATGTTAGTGGGGAATGCCTGGTCAATGGAGAACCGCCTTTACCCCGTTAGGCATCGTTGATTTCACGCCAAAGAGCAAAACCCAACGCTTCAAGGGATTCAGCAAAACGTTTTCCTATCGTTAGAAGTGTAGATTTTCAACACGCACATCGTTTACTCTACAAAGCTGTTGGTCTTGCAATATATTATCGACAAGGACGTACTGCTGATACATTTCACTAGTGCATTCAATGAGAGCATTCAATGGAGAGCCGCATACTTTGAGCACACACGAAAGTAAGTTTCGACTTATTACGGTGGTCCATTCATTTGCTACTAAAGATTGTTGCATCTGGTAAACGTACAACGAAGTGAAATTATTAGTGTTTAAACACGGCGTTGTGGGATGTTCAGTCAAAATTTTTTAAAACAGACGTATCCTCTATTTTTGAATACAATAGCTGTTCTCTTAAGTTATCTTCAGTTACAGCAATGCACGGCTAACGTAAACGTTTATTGGAAGCCGGATTGCTCGCATATTTGTATGACGCCAGCGACAAACACATTATTGACGCTTGACTTTGATACTTTCGTATTCGTACTATATCTAAACATCGGTTCCTTGTATTCGTACTATCTCTAAACATCGGTTCCTTGTATTCGTACTATCTCTCAACATCGGCTCCTTGTATTCGTACTATCTCTAAACATCGGTTGCCATGTGAGTTGCCATGTGCGATCTACGGGGTCATGACCCAGGCTGTGATTTAAATGTGATTAGTAGAACTGATTTAAACATAGAAACAAACAGATCAAATAACGTTACATAGCAACACACACGTAATAAAAGCTTTTATAGTGGCCTATAAAGAAACATCTTTATGCATGATTGTTTAAACCAGGGATCTCTAACTGTCGGAGGGCTTCTTGCAGGTAATTAAAGAGCCTAAGTCTCGCAAACACCTAAATACGTCATTTTAAACATTTATCTATGATGAGTTTGAGACATTTGGTTGAACTTTTTTTTTTTTTTTTTTTTTTTTTTTTTTTTTTTTTTTTTTGTTTGTTTGTTTGTTTGTTTGTTGCGTGACTTAGGCTCTTGAATTTCTTGCAAGTAATTCAAGAGCCTAAGTCCCGCAAACACCTAAATACGTCATTTTAAGCATTTATCTATGATGAGTTTGAGACATTTGGTTGAACATATAAAAAAAGCAACATGAAACAAAAGTAACAGGTGAAACTGGGCGTATGACGTCACTGACCTGTACAGCTGCGATGGGTTGAACGGCCTGTGTCTGTATGGGGGGAAGAGAGTAGCTTTGTTGAGGAGCTTGACGAAATTGATGTTCTATGACGTGTTTGACCTGGGCCATATCTGTGGACGAAAGAAGGTGCAAAGTAGAGGCCGACCGAATTTCGGCTTCGGCTTCGGTTTCGGCGCCGAAAGTGGCCATTTTATCACTTTCGGCCAAGTTTCGGTTTCGGCCGAAACTGGAAAGTTAACTTTCGGCTTAATTTCGGTTTCGGCCGAAAGAGAAAAGTTAACTTTCGGTTTTTCTTCGGTTTCGGCCGAAATTGACTTAGACTTTCGGCCATCCGGCCGAAAGTTACTCAGGTTTTCAGTTATTTAATACTAAGCGAAAGCGATATTTAACAAAAAACTAAGCGACATTTAAGAACAAATTAAGCGATCTTTGAGAACAAACTAAATGATATTTAACAACAAACTAAACGACATTTATGAACAAACTAAATGATCTTTAAAACAAGCTAAGCGATCTTTAAGAACTATCTAAGCGATATTTAATAACAAACTAAACGATCTTAAAGAACAAACTAAACGATTTTTAAGACCGAACTAAATGATCTTTAAGAACAAAACAAATGATATTTAATGATTTATAAGAATAAACTAAGAGATCTTTAAGAGAAGACTAAATGTTCTTTAAAAACAAACTGAAAGATCTTTAAGAACAAACTAAGAGTTCTTTATGAAAAAACTAAGCGAATTTACAACAAACAAAGCGATCTTTATGAACAAACTAAACGATCTTTAAGAACAAATAAAGCGATCATTACTAAAACTAGACGATCTTTAACAACAAACTAATGCGATCTTTAAGAACAAACTAAACGATCTTTAACAACAAACCAGGCGATCTTTATGAACAAACTAAACGATCTATAACAACAAACTAAACGATCTTTAACGACAAACTAAACGATCTTTAACAACAAACTAAACGATCTTTAACAACAAACTAAACGATCTTTAAGAACAAACTAAACGATCTTTAAGAACAAACTAAATGATCTTTAAAACAAGCTAAACGATCTTTAAGAACTATCTAAGCGATCTTTAATAACAAACTAAACGATCTTAAAGAACAAACTAAACGATTTTTAAGACCAAACTAAATGATCTTTAAGAACAAAACAAATGATATTTAATGATTTATAAGAATAAACTAAGAGATCTTTAACAGAAGACTATATGTTCTTTAAAAACAAACTGAAAGATCTTTAAGAACAAACTAAGCGTTCTTTATGAAAAAACTAAGCGAATTTACAACAAACTAAGCGATCTTAATGAACAAACTAAACGATCTTTAAGAACAAATAAAGCGATCATTACTAAAACTAGACGATCTTTAAAAACAAACTAATGCGATCTTTAAGAACAAACTAAACGATCTTTAACAACAAACCAGGCGATCTTTATGAACAAACTAAACGATCTATAACGACAAACTAAACGATCTTTAACGACAAACTAAACGATCGTTAACAACAAACTAAACGATCTTTAACAACAAACTAAACGATCTTTAACAACAAACTAAACGATCTTTAAGAACAAACTAAACGATCTTTAACAACAAACTAAACGATCTTTAACAAACAACAAACTAAACGATCTTTAACAACAAACTAAACGATCTTTAACAAAAACTAAACGATCTTTAAGAACAAACTAAACGATCTTTAACAACAAACTAAACGATCTTTAACAACAAACTAAACGATCTTTTGCAACAAACTAAACGATCTTTATGAAAAAAACTAAGCGAATTTACCACAAACTAAGCGATCTTTATGAACAAACTAAACGATCTTTAAGAACAAATAAAGCGATCATTAACAAAAACTAGACAATCTTTAACAACAAACTAAACGATCTTTAACAACAAACTAAACGATCTTTAACAACAAACTGAAAGATCTTTAAGAACAAACTAAGCGATCTTTATGAAAAAAACTAAGCGAGTTTACAACAAACTAAGCGATATTTATGAACAAACTAAACGATCTTTAAGAACAAACTAAACGATCTTTAACAACAAACCAGGCGATCTTTATGAACAAACTAAACGATCTTTAACGACAAACTAAACTATCTTTAACGACAAACTAAACGATCTTTAACAACAAACTAAACGATCTTTAACAACAAACTAAACGATCTTTAACAACAAACAAAACGATCTTTAACAACAAACTAAACGATCTTCAACAACAAACTAAACGATCTTTTGCAACGAACTAAACGATCTTTAACAACAAACTAAACGATCTTTAACAACAAACTAAACGATCTTTAAGAACAAACTAAACGATCTTTAAGAACAAACTAAACGATCTTTAACAACAAACTAAGCTTTCTTTAAGAACAAATTAAGCGATCTTTAAGATTAAACTAAGTGATATTTTAGAAAAATCTAAGCGATCTTTATGAACAAACTCACCGATCTTTAACAACAAACTAAACGATCTTTGACAACAAACTAAACGATCTTTAACAACAAACTAAACGATCTTTAACAACAAACTAAACGATCTTTAACAACAAACTAAACGATCTTTAACAACAAACTAAACGATCTTTAACAACAAACTAAACGATTCAAGTAATCCACAAAAAAGCGATTACAACTGTTACAATCTGGTCAACCTTTATAAATAACAAAAAAATCATTAAGGGTTCTCAAGAACTAGGATTCACTTTCATCCACCTACTCACTGTTGCCAGAGAGCTGGCATACACAAATATATATAGACATAACAAAAAATCAGAATTAGATTTGTCGGTGAGATTCGACTGAAACCGTCGCGGAGAGTCACGCTGGCCGCGAGTTTGAGAACCCTAAATTAGATTTTTATTTATTAATTTTTACGATTATCTCATTTTTATAAAAAGAATGTAAATATGTATATTTTCCCACATCATTTTCGATATAAGCAGAATGTATGCGGGAACGAATTTCAAAATATCTTAATATTTCATTTTTGGTTTCGGCTTCGGCTTCGGTTTCGGCCGAAATTCATTTTCAACTTTCGGTATTTTTTCGGTTTCGGCCGAAAGTCATTTTTAAACTTTCGGCCTTTTTTCGGTTTCGGCCGAAAGTCATTTTGAACTTTCGGCCTATTTTCGGCTTCGGCCGAAATCAGAAAATCACTTTCGGTCGGTCTCTAGTGCAAAGGGAAGATGCATCGAAAGTACGACCAACCACGCGGGATAGTAATATCACGGTCAAAAACTTGGTGCTGTGATCAAGGTAACATAATCGAACCGGAGGCAGTAAAGACATATGGCTAGTGTCTAATATTTTATGGACAACTTCTTTTGTTTTTTTAACTTGTAAATCTTTTACGTTCACAATATTAAAAAAAAAAATTACAATATCAAAAGGTTTTTTTTTTATAACTTCTTCGGAGTCTTTAAAAAAATACAGTTGCTATAAAAATAAGTCATTAAATTGTAAAATTTCAACTTGGGAAAAATGTTTAATTTCAACAGAAGTCATGGCTAGCCATATATTCATACTTTCTTAATATGATTCGCCACCTCTTTTTGTTTTGTCTTTCTACAACCGATTTGCACTTAGTATAAATCAGGATAAATACACCAAGAAGCCAACACATTTTAACAATTAGATTACGCTGAGGACCAATATGTTTTTGGCTCTATCGAAATAAGCAACGGGTTGTGATGGAAGATGGCGCATTGAATTCAATTACGTCAATGCAAAGGGGCGTTTTTTTTTGTACATGTTATAGTAAAACCACCCAAGAGTCCGGTTACCTGAGTTACTGTTACCGTTTCCGTTGCCGTAGTAACCAAAGTGGTACTGTTTGGTGTTGATGTCGGGTAAAGATCTCCTGGAGGGCGGGGGTAGTGACGGGGTGTACCGCCTGCGGGGGGTGTAAGTTCGGGGGCGTTTGTCGTCTGCCTGCTCTGCCTGCAAGAAGAAAACACAACGAACACATGGACAGAGATCACCGTAAGAGCTGACGACAGGAATTATTGGGAAGCATCAGATTTGTTGCTCAATATAAGTAGGTACTGTGTTTGCCGGCGCATGGAGCGACTTTTAACAAAAAGTGATCCTAATAATTTTGATTTTCTAAAGAGTTGAACAATTCCAAATTAATTTTGAAATAAGAAAGAAAAAGGTAATAGTTATTTGATCCATAAAGCTTTTCTTTTATAAAACACGTGCCACTGATTTTACCAATATGTTTAGAATCCATCATTTTGTTGAATGTGAAGGCTTACGCACCAAATGTTAACAGGTGGATCTTCAACTATCACAAATAATAATTTTCTTGGCGCAAAAATAAAGTTGCCAAACGTTAGCACTAATTGGGATTTTTTTTAAGGTGAGTTACTTGAACGCTTGCTTTGTCAAGTAACTTTAGGAGATGGGAAGTTGACGCTCTGCCTCCGCCATTGTTGGACGGCTTGTTTCTAGTCTTCAAATAATTTCAATTTTTTTACCAACTACGTTTTTTTAAAAAAGCATTTTTAAAAGCTCAGGCTCCCAGTAAATTATTTTTGGTTTAAAACACGTTCTACATGAACAATACCCCTCCACTTACTCTAATTCTTTCTAGCAGCTCCTGTCTCTTCAGCATAGCCTGCTGAAGCTTGAGTTGGCTTTCGTAGCCATTGGACGCTGTGGACACAAAAGGCAGTGCATCAGTAATAACCCCTAACGCACCTTGTTTGTTTTGGACAAGTCTGTATCAGACAACACCGCCATAACTTGTCTTTATTTTTTAAAAATGTATTTGACGCATTCGTTTTTATCGCACCTCTACACAACCATATCTTTCAAACAACATAGTTCACTTCTTCTCACCGGTGCAGCATAGATTTGGGGGGGGGGGAGTGAAAACTGAGATATTGAATATGTACGTGAGAATAATAAAGCTCCAGGGATTTAATGTCAGGTCTACGTCAGATACAAGACAAACAACGTTCCATTGGTCTGGGAACACGTTGATACTCGGAGGTTCTCATAATGTATCATAAATGATCATTTTTTTTCAGTGTTTTAAACTAATTTTTTTGCCCGGATTGGTAATAGTTAATGCTAACTGCTTTGCAGTATTGGACTATTATGCTAAAAACTAACGATCGTCACCGTGAACTGATGAAGGTAACATTATACTAAATCTTTAACTACACATTTGAAGTTACGTATAGGATATTAGTTCTTTGTAATTCCAGCACGCTCATAAGAATTTTGCTATAAGATGTTTCGTTTTGTAACAGTATGTGATTCATATTTGATGTTTGAGACAACTATCCGTAATCAAAAGTTCACAGCCTCTGCACCAGAACTTAGACACTTGGTACCACAAAAGTAACCAGCTTAACATTCAAATAAATTTCATGATATTGCACGGTCCGACTTAGCCGACCATCTACAATACAGCTTCCATGATTACATATGCACGCCGTATTCACCCACAAACTTCAATTCGACTCCCCGGGGGGACTTGAATTAGCAAACTATAATCGACAATCTATGTGCGCGCGCATAAATAAAGTTATAATTATTCAGAAGACTAAGGCAACGGCTGGCAGTGTTTTGAATGGCAGCCATTGAGCAGGTCGTGTTGGACTGTATGTGCTGACAGGACTTCAAGTGTGTGTGTGTGCCCGGTGGCAGAGAAGCGTGTTCATGGTGGCAGAGAATTGTTTGTGGCTGGTGGCAGAGAAGTGTGTGTTCATGGTGGCAGAGAATTGTTTGTGGCTGGTGGCAGAGAAGTGTGTGTTCATGGTGGCAGAGAATTGTGTGTGCCTGGTGAAAGACAAGTGTGTGTTCATGGTGGCAGAGAAAAGTGTGTGCCCGGTGGAAGAGAAGTGTGTGTAACGCTGGTGGGAGAGAAGTTTGACATTCATTAAGTTAATTTAAGTATTAAATGTTAGTAGTAACAGGATGGGACCGTATGAAGAGAACTAATAAGGGGTGAGGGGGGGGCGGGCAAGTGAGAAGGGGAACAACCAGGTGAACATAAGGGGGGATAACCAGGAGCTTTTTGGAGAATAACAAAGGGTTTTATGAGGAAAACAAGGGGAATTAAAGGGAGAAAACAAAAATAACTATATGGTTAAAAAAAACAGGAGGACGAACAAGAGAAGTAATAAACATAATAAGTGGAGCCCGGGAACTTTGTTTGAAAGGGAGATAAAAAGAATCTGGACCAGCGGAGTGGTTAGCAGCGAAGAGATGACAGAAAAGCAACTGGAACTATTACTGTCGATAATGAAATTTAATTTGTGACTCAACTTAACTAAACTAAAACCTCCATTATGCCTTTACGCCATTTACCCAGGTAATTACAGCAGAGAACATTCGAAACGATTAAACAGAAAAATTGATATAAGACAAAAATCAGCACGATTTTATATTATTAAAAGTACCCCATTAAGTAAAATCAAACACAAATATACTTGTGTGCTTACATGTTATTGATTTACATGTGTACATTTATGGTATGTGTACTAAGTGTGTACTTAGTGTCTAAGTTTATGTACATTTATACACTGTTTTACTGTCCGTGTCTGCTTGTAACTGATGTTATACGTAGACATGCTCATTTATACGTAATTATATATCTACTTCTACCTTCACATATTTGTCATACTTAAATGTGTAGTTAAGTACTGAAGTACTTCTTTCTTTACGTGTATGTCATACTTATACGTGTAATAATGTGTATACTAAAAAATGTACTCACAGGCCTCGCTCTCTGGTCTCTGTAGCTTGTCTCTTTCGTTGGCTAGTTTCTGAAAATACAATAAAAACACTATGTTGTTATAACTCAAGTCACGTGTTGAGATATGACACATTCTTTTATTTTATCAACAAACATGTCAGAGTTGATTATTTGATGATGTCAGGCTTGGCATCGGACTGAAGGTTTAGAAAGAACCTTAACTAATAATAACATAAAGAAGAAGAAGACGTGTCTCTAGCATTAATGTATGCAGTATGATCAGGTGAAAAGAAATACCAAAAAAATGACTGTAGGTGTAAAGAAAAAGAAATCACCAGTGTCCCATCTACAATCATGCCTGGAAGATTCCATGCATCTTAATGAATCAAATGAAGTATGATTTAATATATAAATTATTTTTTATGGATACATTAATTGAGATGATAAATTCTCCTAGAATACAAAAAAAAAAGGAGTTTGGAAGTAATGTTGCTGTTGAAGGGGCGAACATCATGATCATTTTGTTTAAGAATTAAAGGTATAAGGTTAAATTTCACCGCTCGAAATCCCACTAAATGAGCTAACACGTAAAATATCCGTAAAATATCCGTAAAACTTCCTTGAAATTACCAAAAGACATCACTCTGCTTTAATGTTCGTATGACGTCATTTCCGTGAATATCCATATGAAATCTCCATCCGAGTTCACTTCCGCAAAATATGGACAAAAAATGTACGACATCGAACTTATTTAGAGCCCCCTACGTTTATTTAAAGTGGTAATTTGTATACGAAATACATCCATCTAATAAAACCCTTTCTGATTTTTAAAACATTCTATGTTTCAAAAAGACTTGTTTTTGTCAGACTGTAGACAGATTTTAGCCGTGGTTCAATGTAATGAAGCACCATTGTCGTTATGGTTGGTAGCCATTCAATTTGTTTTTTCGGTCACTGTCAATCTTGGCAACTGCCTTGCTTATATGCCGTCTAACGATTCTAGCCTGACTTCAACTAACCAACACAATGCCTAGGTTGTTGGAACAGATGTGGAAGGTCAGTCCATTGCCTGCCCCTCGTCAAAGGTCAAGAGCAGACGTGTTGTAAACCCAGAGAGTTTACGACGTGCCCCAGGTTTGATGTTGAGACTGACGCGAGAGAAAATCTGGGACTATAAACATAAATGGATAGCTGCGAGTTGAAGAAAGAACGAGCCAGTGATTTACGGCTGTGTCGTAAATATTTGTAGCAACATATCGACCACATGTCACGTGATACTTTATGATATTTTTGTGCCTAACCTTTTTTTTATGCAAGCGTATGAGCCTAAACAGTGTTAAAATAACCATTGCAGTGATTGATACCTTGATTGATACTAACCAGTGATAAGTTAATTCGTCTTGAAATGGTACCACATGCATAATTTCCTCATAAAACACTTTACAAGACGTTGCTGTAAATGACACGTTTGTGTAGATACATTGACTGTATTTGAGGGTGGAAAATGCTTCTTCATGGTGACTTTAAGACTTATGTAACAAATTGACACAATACCAAAAAAGTGATCGACTCTTCAAATAAACACTTTGAACAATTCGAACACGTCCGGACCTGATACTTACATTAATTTAAGTTCTATTTTCCGTTTTATTTGATGAAGTTATCTGCAATTTCTTCGTGTGTAGGTTGTCACTGTTTCCTCACCAATTTATCCTTCTGCCATTGTGACAAATGGCATTTAATATTATTTGCCTGTCCTTCTCTATGTGTATTTCAACAAAAAAAGAGAAATGTTTCGAATGTTGCACAATCAGTACATCACACAGGAACTAGGATTTTAACAAAAGTATCCTTATAGTCTGGCTTTTAACAATGGCATCAGTATTTGCAGCGATATTTTATGGACCGTTATAGCCCAAAGATATATCCAATATGGCGGATGTCAATTTTTGATGTCACAGAAATCGTGACCTATTGCCAGGCAGGACTTTAAATGAGCAAATCACTCCTATCTCCAAATCACAACACTTAACCGTTTGCCAAAACCAAACCAGCGCTTCCTAAAAAATCTGGTACCAAACTCGTGGAGCGTGTAGTCTCCGCACAAACAATGCGTCGCCATGGTGACGATTGACGCCCTGGCAAAGCGGACGTCTCGGGGGTATTATCCGTTGATATATATAAAAAAAAAATAAGTGCCAGCACCGGTAATGGCTTTCAATTTCCCCCTTTACCCTGGGTTACCGTTGTGTGTATAGCGATTGGGACGTTCGCTGGTGGTGCACAAAGGAAGCTACGCGCCCGTAGCTTCTATCTGTTTACTTAAAGGCTACAGAAAGTACACTACGTCTAAGACACTCCTGGACCAGAAGATCTGGCACTGTGCGTAATCCTATCTCTGGCTCTATGTCACTCTTGAGTTTGACCCGGCTGGTTTTGTTCAGGGATTCCCAAACGTTGGGGGCGCAAAGACCGCGAGGTGGACGTTTGCTTCAGATATTATTCCACGGGTACCAATTGGCCTGCCTTCAAGAAAGCTAAAAATAGAAACCCTTTATAATGATTCCAGAGAAAGCTCCAAGCAGGTTATTATCTGAGGGACGTCCCAAGACACCTTAATTTTTGAGAACCCCTGGAGCATGTGACTCAATCGCTGGGCTCATTATTATCCGTCCACACTTTTATGGTGCAAGCATTTGTCGTAACAATAATTCAGATCCAAATAGTCGGAGAAAATACATTGAAAAGGAGAGGTGCGGAGGTAAGGGGGGGGGGCCGTTGAAAAAAAAAGTGCGGGGGGGGGGGGGGAGGGTTACTAAATTTGAAACGGCCGGGTTGTATGACTATTTTTATTTATATATAATTGAGATAAGATAATATTCGTTATAAAAATTTCAGATCCAAATAGTCGGAGAAAATACATTGAAAAGGAGAGGTGCGGAGGTAAGGGGGGGGGGCCGTTGAAAAAAAAAGTGCGGGGGGGGGGAGAGCGTTACTAAATTTGAAACGGCCGGATTGTATGACTATTTTTATTCATATATAATTGAGATAAGATAATATTCGTTATAAAAATAAGTTATTTACACCCTTATATAACGCATAGTTAAATATACCCAATATGCAGCATAGTTAAATATACCCTTATATGCAGCATTGTTAAATATACCTTTATATACAGCATAGCTAAATATACCCTAATATATATCATAGTTAAATGATAAATAGCATTTTAAGTAGTAAAATTTGGGCAGCAATCACTGACCACCTTAGTATCGATGGTGACACCTAGGCAACTGAGGGATGCGATGCTGGATACGATATTATAACCTAAGGTCAACGGCCTTGCTTTTTGGTGACTCTTCTTTTGAAAGAAACAATAAATAAATCACAACTCAGAATTCAGTTCATTATTCCATGTAGAACTATAAACCGCTGCAGGCGTAGGACAGCGAGGCGTAGGACAGCGGCCATGATGAAGCTGAATTGAAAATGGCTGACAATACACACACACACACACACACGCACGCAAGAGAAATTGAGCTGCATTCTTCCTAGTTAAGCTCAAACTGCAAAAGTAAACACGTTTTTTTTTTTTTAATGGATATTCTTAGGAAGAGAGAAAACAAAACTGTTCTATCAATCTTTTCATAACTCTAAAAATGGCTAGGTCACAAAAGTGACTGTCTCACACTAAAGTGGCATAGCGCCTCATTGAGACGTGGATATCTATTCTATCCATCCTTTTATAACTCTAAAAATGGCTAGGTCACAAAAGTGACTGTCTCACACTAAAGTGGCATAGCGCCTCATTGAGACGTGGATATCTATTCTATCCATCCTTTTATAACTCTAAAAATGGCTAGGCTACAAAGGTGAGTGTCTCACATTTAGTGGCATAGAGACATGGATATCTATTCTATCCACCATTTTATAACTCTAAAAATGGCTAGGTTACAAAACTGACTGTCTCACACTTAGTGGCATAGAGACATGGATATCTGTTCTATCCATCCTTTTATAACTCTAAAAATGGCTAGGTTACAAAACTGACTGTCTCACACTTAGTGGCATAGAGACATGGATATCAGTATAAATTTATTGGTTGCATTTTAAAAGTCTGTTTCGACGACATGCAGATAATGACAAATTCATGCATATTCCCAGTTCTTTGACCTGAAAAATTGAAGGAACATCAAGATTATTTTCGTTTCTTTTTTATATTTGTATGACAACCTTACCTAAGCAATAGCTTTCTATTCAACAAATTGAACTTTTTTGAAATCGATATTTTCCTGTCACGGTAAAGAGACATTTGCATAACAAATTGGAAAAATTCTTTCCCCTCTTCACTTCACCCCCACCCCCCCACCCCCCCCCTTCCCAAACCCGTGTGTATTTTTATTCTTCATAAACAGATTGAATATAATATCTGAGCTAATCTTTTCAACACGGCCTGCTTAAGGGTAAACAAGGGCGACAATCAGACAATCTGACACTGACAGATGAGATCAGGTTTTGTTGTTTCTTTGGCGTTCAAAGTGGACATGGCGGTGGAATGTAAGGCTCTGCTTTGAAAAAGTTCATACATGTCTGAGATTACAAATCATTGTGCATACATAGCAATGCCAAGTATATGTGTATCTATTTTTTAGAAAATACAAAATAATGAGATACCAAAATGAAAAAAAAAAAATCCTACAACTTTACGAAACTGTTCTTCATCCAGGGAGAATACTCTAGGGAGTTCATAGTTAATCGGGGCCTCAGACAAGGAGACTCACTATCATGTATCCTGTTTAACATCACGCTAGAAAAAAATTATAAGAAGCATACACGTTAGCACCAGTGAAACCATAACAAACTATTTCCAGAGAGATACTACAGAACAACGACCATCAGGAACCTTATATAGCCAACCATTGCAGTACATGTCATATGCAGATGACACAGCACTACTGGGTAGAAACCGTAATGACATAATTAAAGCATTCAGGGAACTTGAAAATGCCTCAGTCAAAGCTGGCCTTTATATAAATGAACCGAAGACAAAATATATGATAATGTCAAGAAACTCCCATGCTGATAATAATATCAATATAAATAACCACAAATTTGAGAGAGTGGCCACATTCAAATATCTAGGGGCAACTATAAATGAGCACAATGAGATAATGTCAGAGGTGAAAGAAAGGATAACAGCAGGCAACCGTTCCTATTTCAGCATACAAAAGCTACTGGGAAACAAAAACCTCTCCAGGGGAACAAAGAAGACAATATACACCACCATCATAAGACCTGTAGTAACGTACACTAGTGAGACCTGGACCCTCATCAGAAAAGCAGACAACCTGCTCAACACATAGGAGAGAAAAATCCTCCCCAAAATATACGGACCAGTGATAGAAAATGATATCTGGAGAATACGTACAAACCAAGAACTTTACTATTTGTACAAAGAACCACACATAGTCACCATGATAAAAAAAGGCAGACTACGCTGGGCAAGTTATGTTGAAAAGATGCTAGAATGCAGAGCAGCCAAAGTTATATACAGGCAGAAGCCTAGGGGCAGACGACTCATCGGTCGCCCAAGGATGAGGTGGATTGATGATGTGGAGACAGATTTACACCAGTTGGGGGTTCGAGCATGGCGACGGAAAGCCATGGATCGCTCCAAGTGGAAGGATTGGTGGAACAGGCCAGGGCCCTACATGGGCTGTAGTGCCACTGCTGATGATGATGATAATGTTCTTCATCCAATAAAATGTTATCTGATGCGATGTGTTGTTTAGACTTAAGCAACCCAACTAAATTCACACATATTTTATTATTATTATTATTATTTTTCGTTGTAATTTTTAAGTTCATTCTTGAAAACTTTATTATTGGAACATTCACTATTGACTATTGGAACATTCACTATTGGAAACGACACTATTGGAACCTTCGCTTTCGGAACCTTCGCTATTGTAACATTCACTGTTGGAACCTTCACTATTGAAACCTTCGCTATTGGAAATTTACAATTGTAGCCTTTGACTATTGGAAACTTTACTATTAGAGCCTTTAATATTGGACCTTAACTATAAATATCCACATTTTCCACTGCGATTTAACTTTGTAAACTCTTTTTTGCAGAGTTAGTTTTAGACTAATTTTTTTCTGGCTGGGACGCAACACAGACAAACTGATTTCATTGTGTAATCTCAGTGACTCAAATAGTCACAATACAATTGTGACGTCACGAGTGCGAGGGTTTAAACTCGTTTAGTAGAAACCTGGTCGTGAATGTGGCACAACACGTGAAGTGGGGGGGGGGGATCTAATCCTGCAACCAAGCAATTCCTTGACATTGGTTATCAGGGCACTCTACCCCTCCTGGTGCAGGAAGAGTTAATCAGGGCACTCTACCCCTGGCGTAGGAAGAGTTAATCAGGGCACTCTACCCCTGGCGTAGGAAGAGGTAATCAGGGCACTCTACCCCTGGCGTAGGAAGAGTTAATCAGGGCACTCTACCTCTGGCGTAGGAAGAGTTAATCAGGGCACTCTACCCCTGGCGTAGGAAGAGTTAATCAGGGCACTCTACCCCTGGCGTAGGAAGAGTTAATCAGGGCACTCTACCCCTGGCGTAGGAAGAGTTAATCAGGGCACTCTACCCCTGGCGTAGGAAGAGTTAATCAGGGCACTCTACCCCTGGCGTAGGAAGAGTTAATCAGGGCACTCTACCCCTGGCGTAGGAAGAGTTAATCAGGGCACTCTACCCCTGGCGTAGGAAGAGTTAATCAGGGCACTCTACCCCTGGCGTAGGAAGAGTTAATCAGGGCACTCTACCCCTGGCGTAGGAAGAGTTAATCAGGGCACTCTACCCCTGGCGTAGGAAGAGTTAATCAGGGCACTCTACCCCTGGCGTAGGAAGAGTTAATCAGGGCACTCTACCCCTGGCGTAGGAAGAGTTAATCAGGGCACTCTACCCCTGGCGTAGGAAGAGTTAATCAGGGCACTCTACCCCTGGCGTAGGGAGAGTTAATCAGGGCACTCTACCCCTGGCGTAGGAAGAGGTAATCGGGGCACTCTATCCCTGGCGTAGGAAGAGTTAATCAGAGAACCCTACCCCTGGCGTGGGAAGAGGTAATCAGAGTACCCTACCCCTGGCGTGGGAAGAGTTAATCAGAGTACCCTACCCCTCGCGTGGGAAGAGGTAATCAGAGTACCCTACCCCAGGCGTGGGGAGAGGGGTGGTCCGCAAAGGGCGACAACTAGCGGGTGGGGATTGGAGGATACGGTAACATTATGTTGTTGTATATATGTTTCACTTCTCATGTTTTCATTGTTCGTTTTCTGCGTAGTTTTTGTGAGCGAGGGCGGAAAAGTCCTGGACCGCCCCGGGCGCACAAGACTCTAATTTCTCCGTGGCATTCATAACCTCTTTTCTGTGTTTGACACTCAAAAACAACACATGTGTTCTTAGGACACATCAAATCTAAAGTCATAGTTGAGCTGGAGGAATTTTAAAAAAAAATTCCTTTTGGAATCGCCCAAAGCTACTTTTGCTTAAGTCAACTTAAAAACTCGAATTCAACAAACAGAAATGTACAAACTAACAAAACACTCTTTAAGTCTTTCAAAGAATAACACCGAAAAGATCAACCACTCGAGATTCTTTTTATTTTAAGAAATCAATAAATAATATCGATTTTCACCCAGATCTAATACTAACACCCACCCCCCCCCCCATTGAATTTCACTAGCAGTGCCCAGGTTTTTTTATTGGTAGAGAAGTCAGGGCGGCATTGTTGTCAATGGGGAAAGGTCCATTGAAAAATTCTTGGCTGTATTTGTATAGCCATATTATTTATGCACTTTCATAAAGGAGGAACATGAAAGGCAAAATAGTTTTTACAAAGATTTATATTTGACTCCTTGCTGTCTGTAGTGGAAGAACGGGGAGAGGAAACATCAGCTTTTTAAAGTTTATAGTGATTTAATCTGTGAGGTCTTCAAGACGATCGTAGCGTTGCTGGAGATGTGCAGAGCAACGGGGGATGGATTTGTTGTGGGCGAATATTAGACTGATTACGCGTAGTTACAAGGGATTGTTTTTTAATGCCATAAAAAGGAATTGTTTTCTATGCCATTAATAGGGGTCCTGGGTGGGCAGTTCTCAAGTTGATAGTCTGGGAGTTCAATCCCCACCAGAGCCCAGTCATGCAAAAAAACATCACCAGCACCCCGGGTGGACGGGACTCGTTAACACTGGATGGCTACTCATCTAAGCGAAGGAAACTCTGAATTCAAACCAGCATGTGGAGTCCCGTAAGGCTGATAACATTCCGACACTCATGCGACGCGAAGTTCATTGTGACGGACGGATGCCAGCAAAAAATAATAGGGATTGCTTTCTTTGACATAGACATTGATTGTTTTATATGCTATAACCAGGAATTATTTTCTATGGGCAATATTTGAAAACAAAAATTTTAATATTTTTATTTTTTTAAAAACAGCGTTATAGTTAAATACTTTAAATTAAATTGTGTTAAAGTTGAGTACCCTAAATTAAATTGTGGTAACGTTAAATACCCTAACATGGAGGTTATGTTAAATATCCTAAATTTTATTGCCGTAAAGTTAAGTACCCTAAATTACATTGTGGCCAAGTAAATTGCCCTAAATTACATGGTGGTAAAGTTAACTACTCTAAACTACATTGTGATAAGTTAAATATCCTAAATTACATTGTGATAAAGTTAAATATCCTAAATTACATTGTGTTGAAGTTAAAGTCATAAATAGCACCACTCAAGTCCAAGACAGGTCAACTTATTACGAACACAAACGTTCAACACCGGCGTTGTGTTGAGCATTATCTTGGACTATACTCAACAATGAATGGAATCACTGAGACTGCTCTGAATAATATTCCTGTCTTGTCAATAATGGAAGAACTAGATAAAGAGCCAACTTTGCAGGAGATCGAAAAATTGGTTGATTACCTTGCAGATGGGAAGGCACTAGGGATTGACGACAGTCCCCTGGAAGTCCTCAAAAATGGAGAGAACAAAAAACTACACTACTTGAGCCCTTACATAAGCTCCAATGTTTGTGTTGGGAAGCAGGTCACTTGCCCCAGGACACGAGAGACACCAACATCGTAACATTGTACAAAAATAAAGGGGACCGAAGTGATTGTAATGACTAACGAGGAATTACGCTCCTTGGCGTAGTTGGAAAGACGTCTCCCCGTGTTGCCCTTAAACGATTGCAGAGTCTGGCGAACCGCATCTACCCAGAGCCCCAGTTTGGCTTCCGGAGTGGGCGTTCAGTTATAGATATAATACATTATCATTACGCCAACTACAGGAGAAGTGTCGTGAACAACATACGCTTCATTATATTGCTTTCATAGATCTGACAAAGGCATTCAACTTGTTAAGTCGGAGAGGCCTGTTCAGTATCTTGCATAGAATAGGTTGTCCCACCACGACTGCTCACAATCATACATTCATTTCACAAAAACATGCACAGCACAGAAACCTTCAATGGCGCGGTCTCTGAAACATTGCCAGTCAGTGGGGAGTAAAACAGGGTAGTGTACTAGCACCAACGTTCTTCTCCATTGTCTTCTCGATGATCCTTTAATTTGCCTTCAGGGACTGTGAAGATGGAGTGTACATACATACCCGATCTGATGGTAGACTGTTCAATATCGCACACATTCGTGCTAAGATCGAGGTAAAAAAAAAGCTGCTAATTCGTGAACTGGTGTTCGCTGACGATGCCGCCTTAGCATCTCACACAGAAGAAGGTCTTCAGCGGTTAGTTAATCGTCTACCACACGCTTGTAAATAGTTTGGACTGGCAATTAGTCTACAGAAAAAAAATGCCATGATGCAAGAAGCACCGTCCCCTCCAATTATATCTACTGAAGGCCATAATCTTTCGATTGTTGAGCGTTTCCCATACCTTTGATCCAATATTTCTTGATCTCTCTCTCTACGTTGACGAAGAGGTAAACATCAAGATCGCAAAAGTAGCAGCAACTCTGAACTGAATAAGCGCTTGGGAAATAATCTCACTCTAACTGATAAAACAAAAATAAGTGTCTATCAGGCATGTGTGCTTAGTACGCTTCTATATAGCAGTGAAGTGTGGACCACATATACCAGTCATGTGCGGAAACTCAAGAGCTTCGATCAAAGATGTCTGCGTCGCATTTTACGCATTCGATGGCAGGAAAAGGCGCCTAACACGGAGGTCTTGGAACGTGCAAAAATGTGTAGTATATTCTACGCTCTTAGCAAGAGGCGCCTCCGCTGGTTAGGCCATGTAAGGAGAATGAAAGAAGGCCGTATTCCAAAGAAGCTTCTGTGTGGAGAGTGGGCAGCAGGGACAAGACTTATTGGACGGAGATTTATGGGCGTTTGCAAAAGGAACATAAGGGAAGCCAACATTGAAATCAACAAATGGGAAATCATTGCTGAACAACGTTCCAGCTGTGTATGAAGGAGTCAAAAGGGCAGGAGATGCGCGAAGCCAAGACCTCGCAACAATAGAGCATTACCGAAGGACACATCTAACCATGATTCAAAATTATCCTGCGAGAAATGCAGTCGAGATTGCCATGCACAAATTGGCCGAGTGAGCCATTCGTTCAAGTGTGCATAACAACTCCATCGTTTCGCGAAGACGGAAGGTTGCTATATATATGACGTTAAATATCCTTACAATGTGGTTTAGTTAAATACCACCAATTATATTGTAGTAAAATTAAATACCCTAAATTACATTGTGGTAAATGTATGTACCTTTTCATAGTAAAAAAAGTTAAACACCCTCATTATCATTCAAGTCCACACACACATATGTTATATAAACAAAGACACATACAAACTCACACTCACACTCTCACACACACACACATACACACATATTACAATGCTACTGAAACAATATTAAATAAAGAATGAATTTGAAGAATAAATTAAATCCACATTTATCAAGCAATTAATATCAGTAAAGTAATAAAAAATCTTTTTTTTTTTTTTATTAAATGTTTGTTTTTTTCCGAGCCTTTTCTTTTCTGCTTTTCTCTTCACGGATGACTCTGTGGAACTAAAGGGAAATAGGCATTAGAATAAACGGTAAGAACTGGAGTCTAAAGGGCGGCAGAGTTCAATTAAAATATCACTCCACGCTTGGTGTTGCTGGCTACGTATTTGAAGGGGACATCTTTGACTGTTTTAGATTGTGTTTACCGAGCAGGGAAGTCGTGTGGTTTTAACATCTTGTTTCTAACCATTCCATTATAGCCACTTATTTGAATTAATAAAATCATCTTAACTTATCTTAACTTGTTTACAGACTTGTTACGGTTTGAGACCCATTCTCCTAAGTCCTGTGGATCAGCGTTCCCCAAACGGTGGTCCGTGGACCGGCACCGGTCCGTGAGCCTTACGTTACCGGTCCAGAGAGCATGAATATTGATGTTTAAATAGAAAGAAAATGTAATTAATCAATCTGGCACCGGTCCCTGGTGCAGTTTCAAAACTAGTCCACCGGTCCGTGAAACTTAAAAGTTTGGGAAACGCTGCTGTAGCTTAATCACCATAAATCAATGTTGTGAATATATAGATGGGGTCATGAGACCTCGATATTAAATGCAAATTAATTCCATGTTGACTGCTAATTATTTACTTTAATCTTGAAAGCTGTAAACTTTATTCAACGAAAAAAAAATCGATATACCTCAATACCGTAATCGATTACTTAGAGCTCCCTTGAGATTCAATGAAATTAGATGTGATATTTAAACCAGGTCTAAAAAAAGAGTCGAGCGAAGCCTCACGGTCGCAAAGCTCCATAAAAAGTTTGTCTATCATGTAAATATCATCTGTAAATTCTCGTATTCACAGGGAACCCTTGAGTTAAAGATCAATGCCTTGACGGGCATGACTCAAACACATAATTTACCAAGTCCAAGACCTGGCGATGGGGGCTGAGAGGGGGGGGGTGGCTTTCACCAATTAGGTGAGGAGTTAGACGCCCTTTTGTCTTTTATTCTCACCATTTAGTACTCTACATTCATATCCCTAAACTAAACAACTACTGCTTGTTGACAATCTCACTAACCACTGTCAGGTTGTCATCAAACTGACTTGTTGGGTTTCTATCAGTTATGGAACAGCACGCAACACACAACATAGACACATGGAATTTTACGATAATGATATTGACTCTATAATTGTGAAGAACACTGTTATTTAACGATCATTTCTGAACATTGCCGACAGGTCCATTCGCCAAATGGTGTGTGCGTGTGGGGGGGGGGGGGTGGGGGGGGTATATTGACTCTATAATTGTGAAGAACACTGTTATTTAACGATCATTTCTGAACATTGCCGACAGGTCCATTCGCCAAATGGTGTGTGCGTGTGGGGGGGGGGGGTTGGGGGGGTCACATTTGTCTGTATCGAGGAGCGTGCTCTAAGCTGTTGGTGAATCGAACAGCCGTTAAAACTAATCTTCTACATTCTAAAAAGGAACGCCTTTTCAATTTTGACGGACACATGAATACAGAAGGGTCAACACCTTTTAAAAGTATGCAGTTTAATAACACTTTATTGATTGCATGTGAATATTTCAAATCGTGATCACTTTTCAATTTTGAATTTTCATATCCAGAATAAAAAGGGCAAATGAAAATAGATTAAGAAGTAACAATAGAACTGAAATCACAGATCAACGTCAGGAATATGTATTATCTTGGAAATAAAATCATGATCACTATACTATTTATTTATTTGACTATCCCTATACTATTTATTTATGCGACTGTCACTATACTATTTATTTATGCGACTGTCACTATACTATTTCTTTATGCGACTGTCACTATACTATTTCTTTATGCGACTGTTACTGTGCTATTTATTTATGCGAATGTCACTTTACTATTTATTTATGCGAATGTCACTTTACTATTTATTTATGCGATTGTCACTATACTATTTCTTTATGCGACTGTTACTGTGCTATTTATTTATGCGAATGTCACTATACTATTTCTTTATGCGACTGTTACTGTGCTATTTATTTTATACGACTGTCACTTTACTATTTCTTCTTCTTCTTCTATATCTTAAGGGCCCACGATCAATTTCAAGCCTTCAAACCCCCAGTGCATGATTCCCTCACAAAGTGGCACTGGAAATCTGTGAAATTTCCTCATCAACACCAGGAACAGAAACATTGCAAATCCCATCTACATGCATAGGAGCCAAAATGATCAATAAATTGATCGTGGGCCCTTAAGATATAGAAGAAGAAGAGAAGAAGAAGAATTTATTGATCATTTTGGCTCCTATGCATGTAGATGGGATTTGCAATGTTTCTGTTACTGGTGGTGATGAGAAAATTATGCACTAGGGGTTTGAAGGCTTGAGGCAATAGACACAAATGTGTCTAGTGTTGTCGCCTCAACTGTTCCTTTTGAAAGATAGCTGGGTGGCCGAGCGGTCTAAACTGTCTCAAACGAAATAGCTGGTGGTCTGGAGTTCAATCCCCACCAAAGCCATTCCCAAGCAACCCGGGTGGATGGGACTCGTTAGCCTTGGACGGCAACCTGTCTAAGAGAAGGCAAACTCTGAGTTTAAACCAGGAGCCAGAATGATCAACAAATTGATCGTGGGCACCTCAAATATAAGAAGAAGAAGAAGATGGTTCCAGTCCCTGATTGTCTTGGGCAGGAATGAGCAGCTCCTATACTGGCTTCTTGCTGGTATGAGCCTGAATTGCCTGTCATGGCCTCGTCGCTGTCTATGGGGGAGAGGGACGAGTTTCTGTTTAATACTGGAACAGTGGACCAGCCCATTATTTATCTTGTACATCATGGAGAGCCTGGATTGTCGTCGTCGTTTCTCCAATGGTGACCAGCCTAGTGTTTCTAGCATGCTGCCAACACTAGAGGTATTCCTGTAGCGGTTTAGGACAAAGCGTGCTGCTCGTCGCTGGACCGCCTCCAACCTGTCAATGCTCTTCTGGGTAAATGGGTCCCAGACTGAAGATGCATAATCTAAAATCGGACGGATAAAGGCTTTATATGCTCTTTCTTTCACACAGGAGTTGCCAATCTTTAGATTTCGCCTTAAGAACCCCAAGGCTTGGTTTGCTTGGTTACATACATTGTTAATATGCTCGTCCCAGCGGACCTCTCTTTGAATGGTAACACCCAGGTACTTTACGGAGGAAACTTGCTCAAGAATATGGCCGTGCAGTTTGTATTGGTAGTGTAGAGGAGTACAACTTCTAGAGATTGATAGTGTCTGGCACTTGGCAGGGTGAAATTCCATGTCCCAGCTCATCTCCCACTCAGCTAACAGATTGAGATCCTGTTGTAGCTGGTCCTGGTCAGATCTGTTGGCGATCGTCCTATACACTGCTGTGTCATCTGCAAACAGTCTTGCCTGTGATGTCAGTTTCTCCGGTAGGTCATTAATGTATGCTAGGAACAAACAGGGGCCCAGGACTGATCCCTGGGGGACCCCTGACTTCACATTGACAAAGGAGGAGCTTGTACCGCCCACCACTACTGCTTGGCGTCGGTGGCTGAGGAAGCTAGAGATCCATGTTTTAGTGGTGCCTTGAATCCCATATATCTGGAGTTTGTGTAGAAGCAAACTATGATTCACCCGGTCAAATGCTTTTGCGAAGTCCATTACTAGCACGTCAGTCTGCTTGTGGTTCTCCAGATTGGTCATCAAGTCTTCTACAAATTCGAGAAGCTGGGTCTCACATGACCTATTGACTCGGAAGCCATGTTGACAGTCATTGAGTATATTTTTGCTTTCAAGATGCTTCATGACAGAGCTTACGATTATGTGCTCCAACAATTTGCAGACGACGCTAGTGAGGGATATCGGACGATAGTTGGCAGGGTCGGAATGCTCCCCTTTCTTGTAAATTGGAGTGACATGCGCTGTTCTCCAGTCTGCTGGAACATTTCCTGTGCATAGTGACGATTGGAAGAGGATTGTTTATTTATTTATGCGACTGTCACTTTACTTTTTATTTATGCGACTGTCACTTCATTTTTTATTTATGCGACTGTCACTTTACTATTTATTTATGCGACTGTCACTTCATTTTTTATTTATGCGACTGTCACTTTACTATTTATTTATGCGACTGTCACTTTACTTTTTATTTATGCGACTGTCACTTTACTATTTATTTATGCGACTGTCACTTTACTATTTATTTATGCGACTGTCACTTTACTTTTTATTTATGCGACTGTCACTTTACTATTTATTTATGCGACTGTCACTTTACTTTTTATTTATGCGACTGTCACTTTATTTTTTATTTATGCGACTGTCACTTTACTTTTTATTTTTTCCTCTTCTTTTGAGTTATGGGGTTGGTAAGGAGGGGAGGTAGTTAGGGGGGTGGGGCAAGGTTTATGGAAGACAGAAGTAACCGGTGTCAGAGAGCGTTGTCGTGTGGAGGAAAAGGGGAGGTAATGCTTACTTGTGTCAACTTCGGAGTTATCTCGTCGTGGTGTTACCGCCCTCTCAAACGTTCGGCAATGCACCCTGGGGCGGCAAGAAAAAGAGAAGACGGAGGAGGAGGTCGGTATGTCAGGGGTCAAGGCAGAAGTTTGTATAGAGAGATTTTTTTACAATGATTAATACGTAATCCGGATATGACGATCATCGGATGACCTTTGTGTTTTAAATAGTGTCAATTTTTGAACGGAAGTTAAACCGAAAAAAAAAAAGTATTAAGTTTTAGAGCTTTTTTTTACTTTTATCCATATATCATTCTTTGAAAATTGTTAAATCCCCATAGATGACCAGGTGTCAACATGTGAGTCGCGAACTCTTTGGGGGTCGAACGACCCTTATACAGGGGTCACCTAATACAATGGGAAAACAGATATTTATAAAGTAGCAACGTGAATAATTGTATGCTTGAAAGGAGGGGGGGAGGGGTCACAACAACATGAAGAACTGTCTTGAAGGGTTGATGCCTTAGGAAGTTGAGAACCACTGCCATAGGCACTTAGATGAAATCGAATACTTCAAAAAAAAACTTGATTTAAGTTGGAAAATTAATTTTCCTTTTTTTTAAATTTTCATTGTAAAGAAGAATTATTTTTTTTTACATTTCAGTTACATCCCCTAAAGCCTCCCCCTGCCCCCTACCCCCACCCCCAAACCCTTCTCCTTAATTTCAAATAAAATCTTTGAAAGTCTTAAGTTGGTACATATATTTTTCAATAAAGGAATTATGGAAGAACCGACACAATTTGATTGATCGACATTGTGAACTAGGGTAAACTGTGTACCTAATATCATTCCACCCCCCCTCCCCCCCAACAGTTTGTGTGTGAAGTGGTTGACTCAACACAAGACTCAACTTGGTATACACAGAAAGATTAACTAACAAGCCCCTGCCAGGGCAAACGGGAGACTGTAACAAAAATACATTTTTTTTTTTAAATAGCCGTATTTGAAAAGCCTGAAGAAGACCCACGTGACAGTGCACGTGATTCTCGGTGCTTTTTTGTTCTCATGACGTGACGACCACGGTGAGAAATAAAACGTCAAATGAAAACATATGAATGCCCGTCACGTCATACACCGAAATGGCTCAACTTGGGCAGTGACGTGGAGCTATAAGCTAATAACCGCAAGCTTTTCCTTGACTGTGTCAAGCATGAAAGAGCAACGTGCAGGCCTTTGGTCAGAAGAACCCCCCCCCCCCCTCAGACACCCCCCCCCTAACCCGTCGTTTAAAGAACTTCTTCGAAATCAGGTGCAAGCTAAAAAAACAAAACAAAAAAACCAGCTTGTGACGACATACGTTTTGCGATACATCTCAAGAGTCCGTCACACCAATGACACCAGTCGGTAATCAGCCGGTTAATTTCACTTCAAATAAGACTTTAAAATACGGGTGCTTCTATGTCATACGGGTGCTTCAATGTCATTCGGGTGATGCTATGTCATACGGGTGCTTCAATGTCATACGGGTGCTTCAATGTCATACGGGTGCTTCAATGTCATACGGGTGCTTCAATGTCATATGGGTGCTTCTATGTCATACGGGTGCTTCAATGTCATACGGGTGATGTTATGTCATACAGGTGATTCAAAGTCATAAATGTGCTTCGATGTCATACTGGTGCTTCAATGTCATACGGGTGCTTCAATGTCATACGGGTGCTTCAATGTCATGTGGGTGCTTCTATGTCATACGGGTGCTTCAATGTCATACGGGTGATGTTATGTCATACAGGTGATGCTAAGTCATAAATGTGCTTCTATGTCATACGGGTGCTTCAATGTCATACGGGTGCTTCAATGTCATACGGGTGATGTTATGTCATACAGGTGATGCTAAGTCATACGGGTGCTTCTATGTCATACGGGTGCTTCAATGTCATGCGGGTGCTTCAATGTCATACGGGTGATGTTATGTCATACAGGTGATGCTAAGTCATACATGTGCTTCTATGTCATACGGGTGCTTCAATGTCATATGGGTGCTTCTATGTCATACGGGTGCTTCAATGTCATGTGGGTGCTGCTATGTCATACAGGTGCTTCTATGTCATACGGGTGATGCTATGTCATGTGGGTGCTGCTATGTCATACAGGTGCTTCAATGTCATACGGGTGCTTCAATGTCATACGGGTGCTGCTATGTCATACGGGTGCTCCAATTTCATACGGGTGATGCTATGTCATATGGGTGCTGCTAAGTCATATGGGTGCTTCAATGTCATACGGGTGCAGCTAAGTCATACGGGTGCTTCAATGTCATACAGGTGATGCTAGTTCATATGGGTGCTGCTATGTCATACGGGAGCTGCTATGTCACGCGTGCTGCTATGTCATACGGGAGCTGCTATGTCACAGGTGCTGCTATGTCATTCTAACAATGCTCAAAAGTTGTCATGCGGGTGCTGCTAAGTCATACGGGTGCTTCAATGTCATACAGATGATGCTATGTCATATGGGTGCTGCTATGTCATAGGGAGCTGCTATGTCACAGGTGCTGCTATGTCATTCTTACAATGCTCAAAAGTTGTCTATAGACTCTAATTAATAGCTCAATGCGTACGACGTTATGATAATCCTTTTTTTTTTAAATGTCCATGAAATAATTTTTTTTTACCTACTTGGTACACCGTACTGCCATTCTATAACAGCTACGTCGTGATAACAACAACGACCTGCGTCAACATTCAATACAAACAGACATGTGTATTAAACAAACACATGGAAATAAAGTTCCTCGATTCAATCAGGACACCAAAACAAGCTAACGAAACAAACCCTCTTGTACAAAACATAACCACCCTCACCCCCCATCCCCACCCCACCCCCAATCCCCACCCCACCCCCACCCCTAAAAAAAAACGCGCATGAAACAAATAATTAACAATGTGCATACGTCATCAACCAGAAGAAGGTTTATTTTAACGGGAGGTTAACAAACTGATCGATAAATGACTTAAACTGATAACGTTAAAAAAAATCGCCATGAATAACAATCCTCAAAAAAAAAAAAAAAAGCTAAAACAATTCATTTCCTTTGATTTTCTGGTAACCGTTAGAACGTAATTTGTGCTTAAACAAAGTCCAAGTCTTAGATGTAGGAAGTAGCTATTTGGAATCTTTATTTTCCCATGTACCCTTCTTTATTGTGTGCGGCTGTTTCCTCCACACAAGTAAGGTAATTCTGTGGGATTGATATACGATATTGAATAGAGTTAATTCCCCAACAGATGCAGTAACTGCCCTTACATTGCAAATCATGAACAGTGTGGGTCAATTATTATACCACACGGCAGCCAGTTATTGTGCACATTGGAACAGATTTAGCATGTGCACAAGGTATTTAAAAAAAAAAAAAAAAAAAAAAAAAAAAAAAAAAAAAAAAAAAGACAATTATTCACATAATTGAAGAAGAAAAAATACACCATCTGATTTTTTTTTTTTTTTTGGTTAAATATTAAAACACCATTTGTAAAATATTTTACGAAGATTTTCTTAAAACGATTTTAAGTAATAAAATGATTATAAATAACTCATTGCGTTTTAAAGCTGTTTTCTTTTTCTGTAACTGCTTCTGTAACTGTAACTTCAAGTTGAAAAAAGTTTTTTTTTTTTTAAATTCAAAAAAATTGTCAACTTTATTGTTTAAATTACCGTCAAACATCGACGAGGTTGGGGGGGAGAGGGCGAAGTAGTGGTACATACATAATAAATAGATCTAATAATGTAAGCGACATTGGAAACAGGGGTCCCTGTGTTTTTTTTTTTTTTTACATTCACGTCATGTCTTACAAGGTTGTCACTATTCACTGACGTCATTAGTTTTCAGATGACATAGGTAAATTATCATTATTGATTCCGTCAAAGTTGTAATGTTAACCATGTCTATGTTACGTATGTTATGTAAACATTAGCTGTCAATGTTACCTATGCTTCGTAAATAAGTCAGGAACGCGCTTAGGACCAAATCTATAAGAACCACACATGAGCCAATTGGAAGTCTCGTTCTTTACCCACAATGCCATTCACATCTGCCAGTATTATTTATAGGTCGCATTTGACTGGTGGGGGCGCTGACTTTATGAGTTTTCTGACCATTAAAGGGTTGATGCTGGGGGGGAGAGGAATAGTGGTGTGCAAGGGGGTAGGTGCATTGGGATTGGTGCATGGGTGATGGTACAGGTGGTGCTGTTGCAAGGGGTGGTGGTGCAGGGGGTGGTGCGGTGCTGGTGCAAGGGTTACTGGTGCTGGCGGTGCTGGTGCAAGAGGGTGGTGGTGCAGGGGATGGTGGTGCAAGGGGTGCTGGGGAGCAGTGGTGGCGGGTGCTGGTGCAAGGGGGTGCTGGTGCAGTGGGTTATGATGCAGGGGGTGGTGCAGGGGCGCAGGAAAAGGGGGAGATTTTACATTCATGGAAACAATATAAGCTTTTAGGCTGCAACAAAGAACTAATTCTAAAAAGTTGTAAGATCAACAAAATAGAATACAGAGCAAATTTTAAAGAGAGGAAAAATATATAGTTTGAGTTTACAACTTTCTGATTATGAATTAATGCAAACAGTAAAGACTGCTCTGTGGTGTTGCTAGGGTTTGTGACTCCCGGTGGGGAGGGGAGGAGCAAGATTATTGTCGCCTCCTTTTACGAAAAAAACAACCAATAACTGCAATTGGCCAAAAAATGACGTAAAAAAAAAAGGTGCAGCCTTTTGGGGAGTCGGATTTCCATCATCTGCACGCCCTTTATACACCATCGATGAAGAATTGTACCCCCTTTATACACCATCGATGAAGAATTGTACGCCCTTTATACACCAACGATGAAGAATTGTACGCCCTTTATACACCATCGATGAAGAATTGTACGCCCTTTATACACCATCGATGAAGAATTGTACGCCCTTTGTACACCATCGATGAAGAATTGTACGCCCTTTATGCACCATCGATGAAGAATTGTACGCCCTTTATACACCATCGATGAATAATTGTACGCCCTTTATACACCATCGATGAAGAATTGTACGCCCTTTATACACCATCGATGAAGAATTGTACCAACAAACACACGAAATGGGTCAAGTAATTGAGAAAATTTCTCTTTTTTTTTAGAAATGTCTGGCAAATCAATAAAATTATATTTTTTCCTGGTGCTTGCTGGTGAAAATAACATGGAATGGATGTGCACAGACCCACCCTCTTACCATGGTAACTATTTTCGATTTAGCTAATCAATTGTACACGCTTATGAGTAGACATATATAGATTATCAGTAATGATCTACCTCTGTAATAGGCGCCTACTAGTAGTCGTGTTTATTTGCTACTGTTCACATTAATAACACACCCATGAATACGGGAATAATCTTGCAATGAATTCTGTGTCTCTACCCATACAGCAACACAATCTTCGGTTTTATACGGTCATAAATATAAAAAACGAACCGTTGACGTCGGTTAAGGGAGGTAATTCAGATTTCCAAGTGGGGTACGGCAATAAGGGGGAACGACCCTTCTGACAATATTGCGTTAGCGGGAGGGAAATGACAAAAAAAAACAATCTGCCAAGGTTATTGATGGGATACTTCATACGAAATTGAAGGCATTGATTGCATTTTATTGTGACCAGGGCTTTTATAATTAAACAACCGTTATTTGATGGCAAGGTTGCTCGGTGTGGCTATTTATAGCCGCGAATCATTTGGGACGGTGGGTCTCAAAAGGTGAGTGCATAAAAAAATTGTTGTTGATATCAATGTTTGCATTGTTGAGTTCTCGAAGCTATTTCTGTATTAGTGACTGAGTTCAGCGTTGAGTGTTAGGAAATTTCTTGCAGCAAGAAAAGACTTTTGTTTCGTCTTTGTGTATAAGGAAATGAACGATTCTGCGTTCTAAAGTCTTTCCGTTTCTTCACTGTGCCCAATTTGGTCAAACAAACTAACAAACTAACAAACTAACAAACTAACAAACTAACAAACTAACAATGAAAAATTTCAGGATAAACCTGACATTTTAGGATTGAAATTGTCTTTATATTTCAGCCATAATATAACAGGTTTCATTTAATTGGGAATATTTTAACAATTTTTAGAAGATTTTTTTTTTTTTTGAAATTGTAATATTTCAATGCATTTCAGAGAGGACAAACATTGGTTATATATTAGACTAACCAGACATTTATATCGTGATAATTTAATGCACCTAGCTTTGAGACTCCATGTGTTTAGTTACTCGACTTTACAGTTCTGTGTTGTTTTTTTTAATCACTTATATTTCAATTAATTGAAGATAAATTTAGTAATAAATTTGAACGATTTACATTTTTTTAAAAATGTTTTAAGTACTAGAATGATAAGCACTGTGAAGCATACCAATAATAACTAGTTATAATAAATCTAATTTTGAAGATGAAGAATATTGCAAGTGGTGTTAAGTAATCCAGCCCCACACCAAACCACACTACATTGTTTGCACTCAGACTCATCTATAGCTAATTGACTTATTATAAGTGTGAACTCCTATTGAACTTCTGTTAGTGGAGACCAGTTGGTGGGTAATTATTAATTCATCTTTCACAGATCTTTGATCTAGTTCCAGTGATGTGATGCTTTCAAATGAGCCTGGAAAGTGAATCTCTAGTAAAAATGGAGACTATGTCAACTGGAAAGGGATCTCTAGTAACAATGGAGACTATGTCACCTGGAAAGGGATCTCTAGTAACAATGTAGACTATGTCATCTGGAAAGGGGTCTCTAGTAACAATGTAGACTATGTAATCCTGAAAGGGATCTCTAGTAAAAATGGAGACTATGTCATCTGGAAAACTTAAAAAAATGCTTTTGTTACATTAACGCGGCATCATTATGGGAAACTATATGTATAACTAGAATCGGGCGCTCGTTTTCAATGAGGCCATATAAAGATATGTCCCTATCGTTACTATCCCTTCCAATAAAGAAATATAAGTTACACCAACACTCACTGCCTTTAAGATCAACGTAGATAACGAGTAAACGTTATTCCCAAACCATTCTTAGCTTCAAAATGTTTTTGCTGGGTGTAAACTATATGGAGAATAGCTCATTTCACGATAAATATAAACTAACAAGCAACTGTGGTATGTAAAGTTTCATATAAATCCATGTGAATAGGTGGGTAATGATAAGACGAGACAAGGCCATCAAAGTAGACAAGACTTTAGCGAGAACGCCGCTTGTTTCAAAGGCTTTGATAGACGACATTTAAAAAAAATATTGCTTGTTTGTAATAAACGTCAAACATAAGGCCACTGTAAAACAAACCAAACACTCAACAAATCGACCCGTCGGTCTACAAGGGTAAGCCATTGACCATTACTGACGGGAGTTAGTTCAATAATAAAAAATGCGAATGATATGGCAGTGCCATACAAGGTATAAGTAAAGAAGATAGCGCAAGTCCTGTCCTTAGGGGCACTGGTGAGAGATAGAGTTGTTCCTGTAAGTAGTGCCACTGCTGAGAGATAGCGTAAGTTCTGTAAGAATTACCACTACTGAAAGGTAGCGTAACTTCTGTCAGCAGTGGCAATGCTGAGATGTGGCGTAAGTCCTGTCAGTAGTGGCAGTGCTGAGAGATAGCGTAAGTCCTGTCAGTAGTGGCAATGCTGAGAGATAGCGTAAGTCCTGTCAGTAGTGGCAATGCTGATATGTGGCGTAAGTTCTGTCAGTAGTGACAATGCTGATATGGCCAAAAGTTGAATCATCTAATTACTCAATTGCCTAAAAAAAAGAAACCCATCTAACTACTCAACTGCCAAGAACCATCTTATTATTCAACTGCCAAGAACCATCTTATTATTCAACTGCCAAGAACCATCAAATTACTCAACTGCCAAGAACCATCTAATTATTCAACTGCCAAGAACCATCAAATTACTCAACTGCCAAGAACCATCTAATTATTCAACTGCCAAGAACCATCAAATCACTCAACTGCCAAGAACCATCTAATTATTCAACTGCCAAGAACCATCTAATCACTTACCTGTCCAAAAAACCATTTAATTACTCAACTGTCCTGAACCATCTGATCACTCTACTGTCAAGCTTCAGCTTATTACTTACCTTTCTACACGGAGGTAATATCTCAACTCTCTCACGCGTTAACTTGGCGCCCAATACCACGTCATACAAACAATAAATCATTAACACCCATCCTGACAACAACGTTCTAAAAACGCCCACATCTTACATTCGACACATACACATACACACATACATACACATACACACATACAACTGACGCGCAATCATCTCCTTACCATTTAACAGCATCAAACATGACCTATCGGTCAAAGTGAATCGTTTGATTCAGTTACGAAGTTTTCGGCTGAACCGGATCTGAATCAATGTAATTACCACTGTCACTTCACATTTTTCTGTTTAATATTACCATTGGTACGCTGTCACGGTTGGTGCATCAACAAAACCAAGAAAGGTTCCTCTGGCCAGGACACCAGTAGAGCAGCGTTGCCTAAAATGGTGGTCTGCGAACCGGTCGTGGCCCGCGAGCCTAACGTTTCCGGTCCGCACAACATGAATAATTTATGGTCAAGTCAAAAAGAAATTATTATTTAATAAATCAGGTACCGATCCCTGGTGCAATTTCGAAACTTGTCCACCGTCCCGAGATCACCGTTCCACCAAACTATAAAGCTCGGAAAAGTGCTGCTCTAGAGGATGCCAGGTTGTATAGAAGCAAAAGTCGTTTACAGGCAGCAAACAAGGGGCTAAAGGCTGACCGGAGACAATGAGATGGAAAGAGGATGTCGTTTACAGGCAACAAACAAGGAGCTAAAGGCTGACCGGAGACAATGAGATGGAAAGAGGATGTCGTTTACAGGCAGCAAACAAGGGACTAAAGGCTGACCGGAGACAATGAGATGGAAAGAGCATGTCGCTTACAGGCAACAAACAAGGGGCTAAAGGCTGACCGGAGACAATGAGATGGAAAGAGGATGTCGTTTACAGGCAACAAACAAGGAGCTAAAGGCTGACCGGAGACAATGAGATGGAAAGAGGATGTCGTTTACAGGCAGCAAACAAGTGGCTAAAGGCTGACCGGAGACAATGAGATGGAAAGAGGATGTCGATAACAGGCAGCAAACAAGGGGCTAAAGGCTGACCAGAGACAATGAGATGGAAAGAGGATTTTTGAGTCGGAATCGCATCACCTGTGGCTGGGGGGTGGGGGGGTGTCCGTGCGTGGACATGAAAACCCATGGGAGAATGTGATGAAACAGGTCAGAGCCCCCCCCCCCCAAGACAGGCTGTTGATGATGATTTGTATACAATGAAAAACTTAACAAAGTTTTACATTTTTGGAACTACAATCAAGCTTTTATCATTTTTGTTCAGCTAAACATAACTAAAATTTGTGACGTATTGTTAAGATGCGGCGTGCTTAAATGATTTTGTCAGAATTCACATAAATATTCACATAAGAACAATAGCGTGTATCCCTACAGCTCGGTTAGGTCGATGCTCAGAATAAGTGTTCGTGAAATGAGGAATTAAATTCAGAATATCGGTGACAGAAATTGGTTTTTTTTTTACTTGTTGTTCTCCCTTGGTCTTTGTTTAATTTGTCGACACTAAACCAGAGTCAAAAACCTTTAAAAAGGAGGAGTCAGTGCATACGACGTCAGTACGCACAGCGTCAGTACATACAGAGTCAGTGCATACAGCGTCAGCACATACATAGTACATATAGTGCAACATTCTAGAACAATATGGCTTCAGTGAGAAAATAACGAGGACAGATTTAAATAACATAGAAATTGAATTAGGTTGGGATAATCTGTCATTGGCTGTCAAAGTTTAACAATGAACGCTCCTTGATTTAAATGAAAAACCGATGACAGCGGTTCTCATGTAATTGTACATAAGTCACTGCGGATACTTTACCAGATTTAAGAAATAATTTACGCATGTTATATTTTTAGTTCATCGTGCCTGAAGTATTTTCTGATCCTATTCTTAACGGAAAAAAAATGCATTAAAACAACGAAGTGGCTATTCGGACCAGGGACCGAGAAGTGAGAGGTTGGGATTAAAATTTAAAAAAAAATATTATTGTTAGGCTGTAAGACAAAATTTGGTATCAAATGAAGGATAATGGAATGGACTATATGTTTGTAAACTCATTTCTTCAGTTTAACTAAAATAAACTACCACAGATTACATCTAAATAGCATTGAGTCTAAAGGGACCCGGGTCCGAATAGCGGCGCTGCATGTCAGGACAATATTAGACAATGTTGGACAGGGCAATATTAGAAAGGGGCAGGGCAATGTTATAAAGAACAATGTGAGAGTGGGCAATGCTAGACAGAACAATTTTAGACAGAACAATTAGAGACAGATATTGTTAGACAGGTCACTGTTAGATAGGGCAATGTTAGACCGGGTAATGTTAGACAAGGCCAGGGAACCGTTTGACAGGCAATGTTAAACAGGACAATTTTAGACAGGGCAATGCTAGACATGGCAATAGTAGACAGGGCTATGTTAGACAGGGCAATGTTAGACATGGCAATGATAGTCAGGGCAATGTTAGAAAGGACAATGTTAGACATGACAATGTTAGAAAGGACAATGTTAGACTGGGCAATCTTAGACAGGGCAATGTTAGACAAGGCAATGTTAGACAGGGCAATGTTAGACAGGGCAATGTTAGACTGGGCAATGTTAGACAGGGCAATGTTAGACAGGGCAATGTTAGACAGGGCAATGTTAGACAGGGCAATGTTAGAAGGGAAATGTTAGACAGGGCAATGTTAGACAGGGAAATGTTAGACAGGGCAATGTTAGACATGGCAATGTTAGACAGGGCAATGTTAGACAGGACAAAGTTAGACAGGACAAAGTTAGACAATGGCAATGTTAGACAGGACAATGTTAGAGGGCAATGTTAGACATGGCAATGTTAGACAGGGCAATTTTAGAGAGGGCAATGTTAGACATGGCAATGTTAGACATGGCAATGTTAGACAGGGCAATTTTAGAGAGGGCATTGTTAGACAGGACAAAGGCAATGTTTTGAAAGTTAGTCTCTCTAATTGTTTGTCAAATATTGAATACAAATATGCTTTACTCATTTTACGTTTCGTACTACAAATGATTACGAAAAATTAACCTCTAAGTTGTGGCGTGGTTTAAGAAGACTGAGAACCATTTTACTAGAGCAAAACAAGTGAGTTATTCTATGTCAACAACTTGTGATAACCATAGAACACAGGGTAGTGAAAGTCAAAAACTCATTGAATGAATACTTTTTATATTCGCACTACCCATGTTTTAATCAAAGTCATAAAGAAAATGAAATATTAGTTTTTTTAATACCATCACAAAAAAATAATAAATTAAAATACAAGCATTTCTAAATGAAAACTAATTTAAAAAAATTACTTTAACTTAAAGGGTTATGCTCTTTATGGAATCTCTATGGCATTCGTGATGTGTTAGGTAAGGAGGTGAAAGGGAGAAATAAGGAAAATTAATTCTACAAAGAGACCCTCTAAGACAAGGAAGTGGGATTTATCAAGGGGCGACTTAGTTCCTCTGGGGAATCAATATATGACTGAAATTAAATTTAAGCTGAAAATGAATAATTTTAAAAAAAATCAACTTAAGATTTTTTTAAAATCATTATTTTAAAAAAATCGAAAGTGCTCTGTAGAGCTATTCTAAAGAAAGTGTTGCCATGGTAATGTTCATGATACATTGTCAACACACAGCTGTGTAAGAAAGATTAATAACTATATACATGCTGTTCACGTGTTTCTCCTACTCACCTGTTGTACCATGCGCATTCGAAGCCTTGTCATATTATCATGCATACTCTCTGTATCTGTCGCCATCTTGACGCTCGCTTCTCAGTTGCCGTGACAACCGGGGGCTGCGTCCCTTTAAAAATGTTTAAAGTTCTGACTCCGGACCATAAGTTTCACACTATTTACACACCTGATCAGAAATCACGACGCTAAATTGTTAATTTCACACACGTTTTCATAACTGATCTTTTAGAATTCATAACTTTTAGCAAAAAATAAAATAATGTTTCCGAGGGTTTCGCTAATCGTTCATGCCTGTTCGAAATACGCTTCAAGAAACATTCAAAATGGCGGCCCTCTAGGTCTCCAATAAACAACTTATCACCATAATATTCGGGGTGGCGGCCCGCTTTCTAATAATAAAAAGAGAAAAAAAAGACAAGAGGTCGGCGACGAAAGAGGTAATTCTTAGCGTAGTGCGTCACCATTCAAACTCCTCTATCGCCAGTTGTAAAGAAATGCCATGGCCCCGACAAGAATGGAAGGTACCAGTGCGTATAGAAAAGAAAAATCGCTTTTCACCCGATCGATAACACAGGTGAAAGGTCGCAGTGGGAGACAGTCGTGTGCTGTACGACTCCAAAAGTGACTTTCTAACAAAACCGTATGCCCCCCCAGTTGCAAGGGCGACTCAGCAGTGGTGTTATGAAGGTATATATTTTTTAGGTAAGCCTAATTTAAATTGTGCATTCCTATTTTAATTTCCGACTTACTTGATGGCACCATATTTTCCGACAATAAAGGAAGGTACCAGTGCGTATAGAAAAGAAAAATCGCTTTTCACCCGAGCGATAACACAGGTGAAAGGTCGCAGTGGGAGACAGTCGTGTGCTGTACGACTCCAAAAGTGACTTTCTAACAAAACCGTATGCCCCCCCCCCCCTTTTTTTAAAAAAAAATGAAATCTACTAAAGGAATGGTTTGGGGCGAAGAGATTGGTTTCACCAAACCACGTTTAACTGATCATTTAACAGGCGTTCATTCGGGTGAAAGGCGAATCACGCCCCCAAAAAAATAATGGGCTGGTGTTTTCTTTCGGTAGAAATAGTTTTGTTATTCAAGGCGGTTGGTAGACACGCCGGGGTGGCTGTTAATTGTCATCCGAGACTCACAATTTCGGGATTTCGAGCAGCGTGGGGGATCAAAGAAAAAGTTTGGGCTCTGCGGGTGTGCACGGATTACATGGGATTATGTACAGCATTAAATGCACGCCAGTGACAAAGTTTATTTGTTGTCGTACCACAAAAATTTCATTTTTTTTTTAAAGGGGGGTTTGGGGGGGGGGGGGAGGGAGGTGTTTAAGTTATAAAAATATGGGGGTGGTGGAAAAAAAAAAAAAAAAAAAAAAAAAAAAAAAAAAAAAAGTTTAAAAAAAAAAAATGGAACTGTGATTTAGCTCGTCCGGTTTCGCTTCACTAGGAATGACAAAACAATAGAGAACCTGTTTAAAATTGAGGCAGGAATGACAAAACAATAGAGAACCTGTCTAAAATTGAGGCAGGAATGACAAAACAATAGAGAACCTGTCTAAAATTGAGGCAGGAATGACAAAACAATAGAGAACCTGTCTAAAATTGAGGCAGGAATGACAAAACAATAGAGAACCTGTTTAAAATATAGTTTGCACATTTAGAAATAAAAAATTGTCAGGTATCTGGAAATACGAATGAAAAAAAAAAAAGTAATCTGACCATCCGCTAGACCTTCTGGAATATAAATAGACTGTCACATCAGAGCTCTCTACTTTTTTTTCTGACACTAATGGCATGGATGAACTTTTTTTTTAAAAAAACTATCTTGGGTTGATTGTGTTTTTCAAAATAGTTTTTTTTTTGTCGTTATTAATATCTATAGGATTAGTCGTAGTGTTAACTATTCAACGTGCACGCATCTTTACGGTGTCGACACCCTGGCTCCAGCGCCCGCCAAGAGGCGTGTCACAGGCACCCACACCTGTGCACACAATGGCTCCAAATACTGTAGCTGCGCCCATGTTGCTTCACGCACCTGTAGCTGTGCCCTAGTTGGCTCCCACACCTGTAGCTGTGCACAATTTCACTCCCACAAATACATCTGTTCACAAGTTGGCTCCCACACATGCAGCCGTGCCCTGTTTGGTACCCACACGTTTAGCTGTGCGAAAGATGTCTCAAAAATCTGTAGCTGTGCACAAATTGGCTCCCACAGCTGTAGCTGTGAACAAGATGGCGAAATTTATTTTCACACATACAATTTGAAACGCTAGAGCTGAAGGAGTTTCTTGGTGTCCACACATCTATGTCACACTTTCCAAAAATAAGAAAAATCCCTTATATTAAGGTTTTTGTTATTGTTTGTGTGTGGGTCCGTGCGTGTGTGTGTGTGTGTTTGTTTTTTTTTAAATTTAATGGACAATAGTTTTTACAAACCTATTTTTTTATATACGAATTTCAAAATATTTATTCATGGTCACCTGACAACTGTCATATTAACCCACACCTCGCATATCGACACACACCTCGCATATCGACACACACCTCGCATATCGACACACACCTCGCATATCAACACACATATTTATAGGATCAACATACACACCTCTATGTTAACCCACGCTTTCATTAAATAATAAAAAAAAGCTTGAACCGTCTTAAGTGCACACAATTGAATCTAAAGTATACACGTTTATAAATAAACACAAAACCAGGTTTAGAATGCCACCGCCGAGGGGTCAGGGTAGTGTTTGTTGTGTGGTTGACATATTAAGCGTATAGTTAAGGTTACTGTATTTTCGTTACCATTGAACGAGGTACTCCCTCTAATTTAAACAGCGAATTGTGTTCAATAGCTTTCATTGACACGGAAAATGCTCTGGAATCAACAGTATTAAATGTTACCCCTTACGGGCACTCGAAAAGTTAAACATTGTGTTTGGTGATGTTTAAGTGGGGGGGGGGGGGACTTTAAAAAAACAAAAAAAATTACAGGTAACCCTGTTCAAACTGTTTTTAATCACCCGGATATTTAACACCTTCGCTTAAAGTGTGGTGGGTCTGCATTAAATGTTACCCCTTACGGGGCCTCGAAAAGTTGAACATTGTGTTTGGTGATGTTTAAGGGGGGGGGGGGGGGACTTTAAAAAAACAAAAACAATTACAGGTAATCCTGTTCAAACTGTTTTTAAGCACCCGGATATTTGACACCTTCGCTTAAAGAGTGGTGGGTCTGCAGTCGACAAAACTCGCTGTTCAATGAAGGAAGAAAAAGTGCTGTCTATTATGAATATGCTGGGAAATGACGATCGATATAAGATTGATTTCAAACTGAAAGCATAGAATACTTTACCTCTTTCTACACTTCGAGTCTTTCATTTACATACACATTTAAACACATAGGTGGATATGCAATCCTCTATACGCAGTGTTACGACTTCATTTTCATCCACTGTAAGGTCTTTGTTTCTATTCCCACTTTTTCTCTCTACCACCTTCTCAGATGGTTCTCTCCTAGCTCTCATGCCCTCTCTCAGATGGTTCCCTCCTCTCATGCCCTCTCTCAGATGGTTCCCTCCTAGCTCTCATACCCTCTATCAGACGGTTCCATCCTAGCTCTCATGCACTCTCTCAGATGGTTCCCTCCTAGCTCTCATGCCCTCTCTCAGATGGTTCCCTCCTAGCTCTCATACCTTCTCTCAGAGGTTCCCTCCTAGTTCTCATGCCCTCTCTCAGATGGTTCCCTCCTAGCTCTTATGCCCTCTCTCAGACGGTTCGCTCCTGGCTCCCATGCCTTCTCTGAGATGGTTGCCTCCTAGCTCCCGTGGCCTCTCTTAGATGGTTCCCTCCTAGCTCTCATGCCCTCTCCTTCCGTTCCTCAAACAAATTTTGTTGTTTTCTCTTCTTGAAATCTCACTCCTTAAAATTGTATCTAGTGGATTATTGCCGCCCGGGGCGTGATACGATTATTTCCGCCCTTTCTAGGAAAACACCCTGCAACTTCCGAAAACGCCGCCGTGTAAAAAGTACCTACCGGGGCTGACAGCCCCTTCAGTACCCCCCCCCTCCTACGCCAGCGAATTTAACCCTCCCTCTTTAATCTTCAAGAGCCTTATCCTCCAAACTTCACATCTCACTTTCCTCTACCCTAATCCCCCTTTCTCTCAAACATTATACTCCCCAAAAAACCCCTCCCCCCCTCTCTCTCCTCCTAGCCCATACCTGCTATCAGTTAAACCCCTCTCGGTTGCCAGGACCTAGCGGTCTATTCTTTCGAGAGCGTTTAATACAAGCGATTACGACAATGTACTAGACATGACCAACTCTCTAGTGCCACTGGTAAATGGTGGTCGTTAAGGGATTGAAAGTGTGGTCACGTGCCGGTTGGGGGGAGGTGGGGGTGGGAGGTGGGTTGGAAGTGTGTTTACGTGTGTGTATACGTGTGTGTTTAATGCTTCGAGCTGTGTTAAGCCGTGTGCTAGGGGAAGGGAGTGGATACACAGCATGGCGTGGCGCTGTGCCACAATCAAACACATTCGTGATTACATAAACCAGAGCCGTCGCTAAGGGCCGCGAAATTTTAAGGGACCTAAAGTTAGGATGTTAGGGGTGGGGGGGGGGGAAATCAAACTTCTAACTTTGAATGCAGTTATCATAAAACCTAAAAACGGGGCAGGGGGGGAGGGGGACTCAAGAAATCACGTGATCGCTCTGCTTCAATCTGAACTTAAATATCTTTTAATTTTTATATTGTATGATAAGATTTGTTGGATAAACGATTGTAAACAGAAGTGATCTAAAAACCATGGGAAACGTCATTAGCCTATAAGTTATATAGTTGTATGAAGAAGAGCGACTTTTTATCTTAAATATCCAACACAGGGTTAAGGGGACCACCACACCCTAAACATAATCCCCCTCACCCAACCATATTATACAGACTAATCAAGTGTGAATTTTCAAATGGATTAAAAAATAAGATTATTTAAACATTTAATTGGTCAACAAAAATAGTGTTGAAACAAACAAACAAACAAACAAACAAACAAGATGTAAAAAAAAAAAAAAAAAAAAAAAAAAAAAAAAAAAAAAAAAAAAAAAAAAAAAAAAAAAAAAAAAAAAAAAAAAAAAAAAAAAAAAAAAAAAAAAAAAAAAAAAAAAAAAAAAAAAAAAAAAAAAGGAAAAAAAAATTAAAGAAAAAATTTAAACGTGAAAAAGAAACTGGTTATTAATTTATTTGTGGCGTGTAGATTGAACACTTAACCGCTTAAAGCCGGACAGTGTATTTCAAACACATTCACATTGTAGGCCTACGCCTACACGGGCCACGGAATGGTGTTGACGTTCCGCACTCTCCAGGAGATTATGCAGTTAATGACGTCAGGTGGACTATTTTGAAGTGCACATATTTTGGAGAGGCCTATTAAGAAAGGGCGCATTCATTTCGAAATTTATTTTTTTTTGTTTTTTTTATTATTTTTTGTTGTTGTTG